GCAGCACCTGGTCTTCTTTAAAAATCTGTCCTTTACTCAGTACTGCGGGTAAAAACATACGTCTTTGCTGTATTTCACTTGCATATTCCAGCTCCAGTACAGAGTATTTTTTTCCGTGCTGCAGAAGGATCATTTGAGATGCTTTTCCTCTTCGTAATTTTCAATTAAAAAAAAAAAAAAAAGAAAAAATTGTAGGATGTGTTTGAATCTCGTTAGTGCACAATGGATGTAATTGGTGAATGAATGGTTCTAACGCTGTGTTTCAGGTGGAAAGGATACCATCACGTTCAGTGACCCAACCTTGCCCGTGATACAGCGCTCCAGGTCGCCGTTGTTAGCGTTTACTGATAAGCCCCAGAAAACTGAAGTACAAGGTGAGCACCTGGAACGTAAGGAACACGATGAGAGCCGAGCACTGGTTTCTTTCCAAATAAAAAGCAGTAAGTTTTCGTGCTGGGGTGGCAGGAGGCAAAGTTTCAGTGGTCGTAGAGATGGAATAAATCATCCCCAAGTCAAATGGATAGACGGTCCCAGCACAAACAGCAAAGGAATGACTGAGAAATGACTGTTGAATAGATTGCACAGGGCTGGGGATCGGGTCTTACACCTCAAAGAATTTCCCTAGCAGATAACTTGATACTGTTAGAAGTTATTCATGCCATCTATGTTGCAGTTAACTGCCTCCTGCTCTTTTTCCCTCGGTTAAAATGCACAGTAGGCAGGCAGTCTGTGGAACTGGCTTAGCACTTTCCTGCATTATAGCTGATATCTAGATGAAAGGCTTCCTGATTGCACCCGGTAAATTGAAATACCCGACTCGTTTTCCCAGAGAAATTGGCTGCTTCTTTTTTTTTTTTTTCGCTTTCCTTTTTTATTAAAAAAAAAAAAAAAGGAAAGAAAAATACTCTGTTTTCTACTTTGCTGTTAAAGGTTCCCCCCCTCCAATTCTTTATTCATCGTCTTGTTGAATTTTACTTCCTCTGTTTGATTCTTTCGTATCTTTTTGGATCTGTGGCTACTTTTGACTGTGTATGAATATCTATTGGATGTTTTCATACCACGGCTCCCCTGTATGATTTCATCCTTTTTCCAACACAAAATTCCTTCACTGTTACAGGAAAGCGCGTTCCTCCAGGGACTTTTGCATTTTGAAATAGCCATAGGATTTGTTTTGCCCTTTTTTTTTCCTTTCATTTTAATTAATTTTGCCTTACAGAGGGGAGTTCACTTTGCTGTTAGTATTTTTTTTTTTTTCATTTCTTGCTATAGTGAAGGCAGAATTCTGTTGCAACCTGACAGGGGGAACAAAGCTTGACAAATCCATGTTTCAAAAGCATTAATTGCATTCCTATTGCTGCAGTACATACCCCAGCACTTTAAGGATATAGAAACATCGTTAATGCCTTCAGGATAAAGCTATTTACAGCCAGTATTTTCATAAAGGGATTGGGATAGTCCAGTCAGGCTCCATGGGAACGGCTTGACTTTCATTATCTCTTAGTAGGTACCAGAACTTTCTGGGAGCTGGATTTATTCTGGGTGTCTCCTGACCTGGTGCTCTTTGGAAAGTCTTTGTCTCGGACGGGTGATTAGATTTAGGATGTTTCCTTAAGGTGAAACGTGCAAACAGATTTATTTAGAGGGGAGAAGCGGTTGTTCCACAAACGTCCCTTCTTATGGAGATAAATGGAGCGGTAGCTTCTGCCTCCCCAGCCATGACTTATGGGCTGGCAGTTCTTCTGGAGGCCACACAAACCCCACGCTCAGCTGATCTTGCACATTTCCTGCCGTTTCCCCTCCAGGTTTAAGGTGGTGTCAGTCACTAAAAACACGAGCATCCTGAGTAGTGGAGGACTTCCTAAAGGATCTGCAGGTGTTGCTTTTCTCAGTAAAATACGTAAAGACGAGGCATCTACAGCAGAGTCCCAGCTGATGGGTTTCTTGCACTATTTTGTCTGCAAAAGAGCTGGAAAATTGCCCTTTTCCATTTGGCTTCAAACCAAAATGCTCAGAAACGTTCTTGGAATTTTCAGATTAAAATCCCTCGCAGCACCTGGTCTTCTTTAAAAATCTGTCCTTTACTCAGTACTGCGGGTAAAAACATACGTCTTTGCTGTATTTCACTTGCATATTCCAGCTCCAGTACAGAGTATTTTTTTCCGTGCTGCAGAAGGATCATTTGAGATGCTTTTCCTCTTCGTAATTTTCAATTAAAAAAAAAAAAAAAAGAAAAAATTGTAGGATGTGTTTGAATCTCGTTAGTGCACAATGGATGTAATTGGTGAATGAATGGTTCTAACGCTGTGTTTCAGGTGGAAAGGATACCATCACGTTCAGTGACCCAACCTTGCCCGTGATACAGCGCTCCAGGTCGCCGTTGTTAGCGTTTACTGATAAGCCCCAGAAAACTGAAGTACAAGGTGAGCACCTGGAACGTAAGGAACACGATGAGAGCCGAGCACTGGTTTCTTTCCAAATAAAAAGCAGTAAGTTTTCGTGCTGGGGTGGCAGGAGGCAAAGTTTCAGTGGTCGTAGAGATGGAATAAATCATCCCCAAGTCACATGGATAGACGGTCCCAGCACAAACAGCAAAGGAATGACTGAGAAATGACTGTTGAATAGATTGCACAGGGCTGGGGGTCGGGTCTTACACCTCAAAGAATTTCCCTAGCAGATAACTTGATACTGTTAGAAGTTATTCATGCCATCTATGTTGCAGTTAACTGCCTCCTGCTCTTTTTCCCTCGGTTAAAATGCACAGTAGGCAGGCAGTCTGTGGAACTGGCTTAGCACTTTCCTGCATTATAGCTGATATCTAGATGAAAGGCTTCCTGATTGCACCCGGTAAATTGAAATACCCGACTCGTTTTCCCAGAGAAATTGGCTGCTTCTTTTTTTTTTTTTTCATAGCCTTGTATGTGTTTTGTTAAAAATCCTTCCCCAATAGCAAGCTTTAACATCCATCCAAAGTCAAGCTTAACTTTATTTGACAGTAGCAAGAGATAGTGTTTTACTGATAACCTTGATTATTATTTTTTTTTTGTCCTTAGTTTTTCATAATGGATGGGAGATGGATTATTATGGTTGCCTATCGGTATTTGGATAAGCTCTTTAATGGGCGTAACATTTTGGTATGCCCAGATCTTACTCAGCTAACCATGAAGCGTCATAAACAATTTATTTGTTAGTCCTGCAACTAAATAGATTGTGGCTTAATTTTGACTTTATTATCCATGTCATCATCTGATAAAACCTGACAGCCAGACTGCTCGTTTTTTATAACCTTGATCAGCTGATATTTTTGCTAAAAATAAGAAGTGAAACTATAGTGAATAGTTCTCTGTGAGTAATAATAACTCATAAATATTAATTTTTTGCCTGCTTAATCATTGATTTTTTTTTTAATTAAATCTGCAGTTACTGAAAATATTTACTTGGTGGCATTATGCTCTTTCCTTTATGTATTTGTCCTAGGCAAGGTTGGTATTAGAGCTTTGATTAAAGCTGTCTGTCAGATCTCATCAGATCCTGTTTCTGTAACCACTGCCAGACTTTCTGTGCTGTGTTTTCTACTTCAGCTGATTATTATTTTTTAATGTCAGCCAGATCACTTTTTTGTGTTAAATTCTGATGACTGTGTGATTTATTTTTTTTTGTTTTGGGGTTGTTGTTTTTTTCCAGTTTCTGTTGTTGGTTTGTTGTTCTCTTTTAAGCATGAAAGCATTTAGTATATCTGTAATGGAAAGGATAAGTGAATAGCAATGAAACTCTTGCATATCTTTAAATCCCAGGCCTGATGTGGCATCGGTCAGGTACCGTCCTTTAAGTAGCACTGTTGATATTTGGTGCCTCTTTGGCCCAGGAAACATTTTTAGCTTTTGCACTGATGTACATTCTTTTATCAGAACTTTCTGTATGACGTCAAATGTCGCTCTAGCTAGATCTGCAGATAATCAGAGGGCTTTTTCAGGCTTTTTTAATCTCATCTATCTGCTTACCCTGATCTCCTCAAGGCTTGGTTTAGTCCGTGCTTGTTATCGTCGTTTCAGTGAAGCTGGATGCCAGGACTCTGGAGGACGTACTGATGCCAGGAGGCTGTAGGATAATAGTTCCTGTGTGAAAATACATAACGGCATAGTACAACCATATGAATTAAAGACTGTCTTGTGCCACTAAATCTCACTTTATCCAGTGGGCAGGATGGGTAGCGGCGTGGCATAGATTGTACTTGAGCATCGCGGCTGCTAATGAAGAGCTAGTCGGGTTTCTTTCCTCCCCGTGCTTGAATGCATTGCTCCTCCTCTCTGGCCTCTGCGCTGTTCCAAGCGTTCCCTGAAGACAAAAGCACTGGTTTTCTGTAAACTTTTCACTGGTGTTCTAGTGCTTGGAAACAATTTATGTTTAGAAAATTGCGGCAAGGTGATGGGATGGTGTTATCCCAGTGTAGAGGGAGGAAACTGAGGCACACAGAGAATAAGGTAGAGTCCCTGCTGATTTCCAGTGCTGAGGTACATACGTTTTGGCTCTTTTTTTGAGCCACACTTTGTGTGTGTGTGTGTGTGTGTGTTGAGATGTACAACGTGAGCAGAGCAGTGCTGCAAATCAAGCTCCTGGCTTCCCAGCTGAGCGCTCAGATAATGAGGATTAGATCCAGCGGGTGATCACCTTTTGAAAGTTAATTTATCCCTCCCTGCCTTTTCCACAGACTTAAATTCCAGCTCTCCAGAGTTGGAAGCTTCCTTAATGGTAGGAAGGGTGTCTGTTCCCTTCGTGCCAGCCCTTGTCTCGCTCGGGCAGCTCCGGAATTCTAAATGAAACGGGTCTGATAGAGACAGTGGGTTCCTCTGTTGGGTGGCTCTGGTTGTCCCTGCAGCCAGGCCGTCCTGTGCGTTGTGTGAGGTAGGATTCCTGCAGGAGAAATAGAGTAAATGCTCACGTACTAAAAGGTAATGCATCTGCATGACAAGAGTCATTTTAAGCTGTCAACGCAGCCGGTGCTTCTGGCATTTCCTAATTTTTCTTACTTGACTTCGCAAGCTTATTTTCAATGAGGCTTTTTGTTCTTAACTGAGATGAGGACAAATTCCCTCTTTCACAAAGCTGTTTGTTTGCACATCGCTGTTTCTCTATTCCGACACTTTGTTCAGTGTTTGCCTTTTGGTATAATGGTATATTTAAAATTCTTCCACTGCTGCTTTGGTTTCTGCTGTTACCCAAATTAGAATAATCTTTTATGTTAGGAGAAATGGTGCAGGACCAATAATGAAGTTTCATTATTGGGTGAAAGCCCGTGAAAAGCTTCAAATCAAGGGAGCTTGTGTTAACCCCTGAAAGTGCTAGTGATGAGGGGGTTAATGTTAAGCTGGGCCAAAAATTTCTGTAGCCGATGCCTTGCTTAGAGTAGATACAGAATCACAGAATCTTCATGGTTGGAAAGGACCTCTGAGATCACAGACTCCAACCATACACACACAACAGACCCCCAGAATCTCGGGCACTAAAGCATGCCCTGAAGAGCCATGTCTACACGTTTCTTAAGTACCTCCAGGGATGGTGACTCCACCACCTCCCTGGGCAGGCTGTTCCAGTGCCTGACCACCCTCTCAGGAAAGTCATTCTCCTAATATCTAATCTAAACCTCCCCTGCCACAACTTCAGACCATTTCCTCTGCTCCTGTCATTATTCCCTTGGGAGAAGAGGTCAACCCCCACCTCTCTACACCCTCCTTTCAGGTAGTTGTAGAGGGCAATGAGGTCTCCCCTCAGCCTCCTCTTCTCCAAACTAAACATGCCCAGTTCCCTCAGCCTCTCCTCATAGGACTTGTTCTCTAGACCCCTCACCAGCTTGGTGAAACACTCTGCCTGAGCCTGCTGTTCTGTGGTACCAACTGCGACTCTTCTAGAGTTTTTGGTGTTGGGGAAAGACAGGCTCCAAAACAAGGCCAGATCCGGCAAGAAACTTAGTGTTGCTCGATTGTCACCTAAGATATGGGCCTGAGGGGAACCATTCTTACAAATTCCTTACTGAGATAAACAGCTCTGTGGTCTGGCTCTGGTGGTGGTGGTCTTCAGGGCAGATCTAAACCGAAAGAGGGGAGATTCAGATTAGATTTTAGGAAGAAATTCTTTGCTGTGAGGGTGGTGAGACACTGGAAGAGGTTGCCCAGAGAAGCTGTGGCTGCCCCATCCCTGGAGGGGTTCAAGGCCAGGCTGGATGGGGCTTTGAGCAACCTGGTCTGGTGGGAGGTGTCCCTGCCCATGGCAGGGGGGCTGGAACTCAGTGGTTTTTTAAGAGGCAGGGGGGTTGGAACTCAATGTTTTTTTAAGGTCTCTACCAACTCGAACCATTCTATATAATAAATACCTGTGACTGACCTGAGCATCTCATTGTTCCATTTCTCTTTCAGCAGAACAGAAGGGAGAACGTGATGAAACTTGTGCCGTTGCAAGTGAGTCCCTGGCTCCAGAGGGAACCAACTTAAATAACAGAAAGCAAAATAAACATTTTTATCCTTCATTACCCCAGCTACCTTCTGAGGAGGAAGAAATAAACAAGCTCGGAAGTCAGATAATTAAACTGACGGAGCAGGCAGTTGCAGAGTTGGAAGGGAAAAGAGCAGGTGCTTCTGCAGGGGAGCAGAACGCGGTGGTTGGAGCAGAGTTTAATGGTTCCTCTGAGGGAGAGTTCCCACTTTCCAGCCCTGACTCATCCGACCCCACGGATCCCTTAAACTCAGAAAATGAACAAACAGCTGAAACTGAGGCCCTGAAAGACAATGAGGAGACCTCAGAGAGCGATTGTGACATTCCCAGTGAAAGAGGGGATGGAAGTAGCGGCGCCCTGGATGTGGTCCATGCTGAGGACCCCGGAAGGCATGGAGCGCTCGGTGTTACGACTGCACACACAAATAATAGCTTTGAGGAGCTCCTGGAATCGGAAAACAAGAAACCATCTGATTCTGCTGAAAACTGTGAATATTTGGATAACAGTTTGGCTTGAGGTATGAAGTCCAGGCCCTGGAGCATCTCGCCATCATCATTTTGCAATGTCTGAGCTGCTGCCAATATGATCAGTGAAACAGTGTGCCATAGGGCTGATCTGTTAATATTTGTCTAATAAAGGTGTTTTTCTGTTAGTTTGGGGCTATAATGTACCAAAACCATAAATTACCTAAGGGAAAGAATTTGAAGCTGATGAGGTTTAATCATCTTGGTTCTTTGTAATGATTCGAAGTTTCTGCATAGATTGATGTAATTTACATTAATGGAGCAAAGAGACTGGTGATAATGATGTATCATATTATCCCTAGGCCTCTGTAACGTGTATGGTCCAGTGCTGGACTGTATTTTAATGGTTAGAATTATCTTCCAAGGATAAAAAAAATTTGGAGTGATAAATTCAGAAGCATCTAAAAGTTGCAAGCTTTTGCTTGTTTCTCTTTACATATAGTGCCTGTAAGTACAGCCAGAGAATAAATTCACTGTTCCCTTATAGGAAGTTTCTGAAAACCATCCCTGTGTGTGTAGAGCTCTCTCGTTTCAAACCCTTATATATTCTCAACTGTACAAAATTTTTTCTTCCCTCTCCCAGCTCATCTCCTGAAAATACAGGGAGTTCTTTGGCAAGACACTGAGAACCCAATTTAAGGAAGCTGCGAAGGGAACGTTGTAGGAGAAGCCAGGAGGAGTCTTTCTGTGAGACGCGGCGATGCTCTTCTCAAGCAAGGAGAAGAGCAAGAGGGGAACCGGCGCTGCCCTGTCCACCTGCTCAGCTCCCTGTGGCTGGAATTGCATTCCTCAGCCCACAGGAGCTGGAACAGCCCTCGGGCTGAGTGACGGGTGGTAGATTTCAGCCTGCTCCATCTGTGCCCTCCTTTTCAGAGGAATCTGTGTCTCTCTTATTTTCTGATGTTTCGGAATTAAGGATAACTCTTCCTTTCCTCCGCGTTTCACCAGTCCGCGGGGTGGTGGGAGGTTTATTTGCGTTGTTGCTGCTTTCTTAAACTACTTCCCTCGTCGATATTTAGTCATAGGAAAGTGTTCCTATAATAACAGGAGAAAAGGGAGGCTGCTGTGTCATTCCCCAGCTCGCTCCTGGTGCTGGAGCTGTGCCACTCTGCTCCTGGGAAGGCAGCAACACGGGAATACTTCACGTTGAAGTTAGCAGCTGTTGGAGAAGGGGAGGCACGTCCTTCCTCTCCTGTTTGTAGCAGAAGGAATAGGCTCTGCAGCTGTGGAGCTTCTATGGGCCAGCAGCCGTCAAGGCAATTTTTCTGCTGGCTTGGGACCTAATTGTCTGTAAATGTTCATTTCTCACTCCTAGAACTTGAAACCAATCAGAGGGAATTAAACCAAATTTAATAAAATACTACTAATAAAAAGGAAAATCCCTCCCAGATTGAGTCCTCCTTTGACAAATAACTGCCAGCTGCAGATTTTTACGGCCCACTTGTCAGCGACTGAATGAGGGGAGTTTCTATTAGCAATACTGACAAACTCTGCTGCATGTGGAAGATGAGCGAGCAGGTGCCGCCGTAATCAAGGTGTCAGAGTCCATGAGCAGTTTGCATTCAGCAGAAGAAAAGGCTGTATGCAGATGATTGCGTGGAAGTATAAGGAATGGTAGTGGGAAGGTGAAAAATGTGGCTCGTCTCTGTTCTCCTGTGTTTTCCCCAGCAGGTGCGTTGGTGTAACCCTTTCAGTGCCTCTGCAGGCAGTAAAGCCGTCCTCGCAGAGCCCCTCAAACCTCTTCCCTTTCTCTTCCAAGGTAACTCCACGTTGCAGCATTTCACTGGTATTAAGCAGCAGCCCTTAGGAACAAAACCCATCTGTATATTTCAGCCTGTCGGGAACACGAAGCAGTAAAAAGTTTTTCTTTCATTACCCTGATGGCCATTTAACTTCCTCATCACCTGAAAAAAACAAGAGGAGTTTAAGCATTCAGAAGATCGTTATGCTGTTCCCATTAATTGTAACTGACTGTGTTATTGGCTCGTTCATGTGACAGCCCTGACAGGTCGGAAGAGAAATAGCTGCAGAAACTGAAATCTCCCAGAGAATGTGGCAGGATTTTTTTTTTCCTTTAATGCTTGAATGTCACACGAAGTAGCAATTTTATTCAAGACGTATTCTTTTCCATCTTTCACAGGCTAATCCTGCGTGGAGCTAAATATCAGTGCAGTCAGAACTGAGGCAGGAAAATAAGAAGGTCAGGTTTTCACGTAGCTGAGCTCTGGAACCTTCAGGAGCTGATGTTGTTTCCTTGCCCTGTGTCTTTCCTGACCCGCAGTTGTGTGAGTTGGCACTTGCTCCCTGTTCCTTAACAACCAGGTAATGCTATAAATTAATGAAGAGCTTCTTGGAAAAATCCGAGCAGATAGAAGCAGTGCTGGACTAACAGCTTTTTAGTGCCTCAGTGGTTCATTCTTTTTTAGTCTGTTTTTTCTGTGAGGACATAGTGGTGTACAACCCAGCCGTTAGGACATCTTGGTAATTATCCTCACACCATTCTCCCTCTTAGATGCCGTTTTTATATCTTTTACATTCCAGTGAGATACCTAGAAAACTCATATTTAGTGCGATATCGCTGCTGCAATCCCCTCCCTCTCCTCTCTGCTCCAGTCACTGTGTATTCCAGCTACGTTTTTAGCCTTCTCCCAGAAAACACAAGACTTCAAAGCCAGGAGACTTGTGAAAGTAAGACACCTTTGCTGCACTATGTGGTAATTAATTGAATATTCTTGTCAGTATCTTCCTTGGATATTGCTTTAATTGAAATTGTTGTGCTGTTAGAACAATGATTTTTATTTTTTCCCTAGTAAATTAATTGTTGCTTTGTTATGGAATCAACACTACGTCACGTTTTTCAGGAATGGCTTGGTTTGGTTGTTTGGAGGATTTTGAGTTGGGTTTTTTTAGGCTTGTGTTCCCTTTTTCTAGGACTTCAGAAATGCAGAAATGGCACCCAGACAAACACACCTTTTTGGTGTTGGGCTCTGGGGAAGCGAACTGGGGAGGGAACATTGTGGAAAGGGTGTGGAGAAAATGCCTTTCACAAACTGGTTTGAAGGAGCTTCTCTCACCTAAAAGTGAATTCATGTGTTATCTGTGAGAAGGATTTCATTTGAAAGTACAGCTTTGTGGTTATTTGAAAAACAATGTTCACCGAATTTATAAATTAAGTGTGTGAAAATGACAGATTAAGAAGCATCTTTGAGGATGCTGTTTCTTTTCTAAGTGAGACTATTTTTAAGCATATGGGAATTTGTATAATAAAGACAGTGGAATGTCTTTAATCCATATGAGCTCAGGAATGTATTTCAAAATCTTAACTGAGATTAAGTTGAAAGTCTGCTACATTTCTAAAAGATAGCATTTTGCTTGCCAGCTTCTTTTTTTGTAGTTTTACTTTGTAAATTATGCAGTTTAATTTATTTGCAAACCTCTCCTTTGTTGCTGCCCGGGTTAACTGCACAACACGGTTCAACTCTATTAATACATTTTGTCATCTTTAATAAAAACATTTCCTGATATGCTTGTTCTACCTGCTTGTTTCCTTCTCTCTTCTCGCTGTCAGATGAACGATAGCCATGAGGTGGTGTTTTAGTAGTTTCAGTGAGTTGTGTTAAATTAAAAAAAGTAAAGCTTTATTGAGTGAGAGTTTCAAGTCTAAAACTTACATGACTTAAATCTTTTCACTGTCATTTCTCCCACTCTGAATTGACTGATTTATTTACTATGGTTTTTTGGATGAAGAAACACACTCAGTATTTTTTGGCTTTGAAAATAATATATTTATCTCTGATCTGCTAACTTTATTGTCATTGTCTGAGCAGCGTTCAAACTTTGGTCTGCCGAACTTAATTACTAACGGGCACAAACTAGAGGCTTTAGAGGATTTTTGCTGGGGAGTGGTGGTAAACTGGAGTATTTCTGTTTCTGTTTAAGGTGTAAACAGCATGACTTGGCTGTAGCGATGTGGACAGTTTAAAGTAGTTAAGAGGCTTATACGTGTTTCAGAACAAACCCTGAAAATACAGGTAGAATAATGTAAAGGTTCTAAGGTTGAAAACAGAAATGTCTGTACTTTCCCTTATTTTTAGGGGAAGTCCATCAGCCTGGTCTTGCAACACAACCCTGTTGAAAGCACAGAGATCTTCTTGCCTTTCAGATTTGCAGCTAAATACAGGATAGCGTCTAATGAAAGGCAATTTCTTACTTCTATTCACTATTTTTTTTGTTCTTTGTTATCTAACTTACAATCCCTGAAGGTCCCTTTCCAGCACAGGCTCTTTCCAGCCCATCAGCTGTGCCCGTTGCCACTCTTACTTACATGCATTCACCTCCCAAACTGCACATAGAGGGAATCTTTTCAAGAAAACACACCAAAAAGTTGAGTTGATGCTGCTTTTATTGCTGGGCTTTACAGACAGGAGGGCTCTACACAGTGATAGGAGTTTCTTAGAGGAGCAAGCGAGTGGCAACGGGGAATCCCTTCCCCGTGTGTCTCGGCGGCACAGCCTAAAGGTTCTTTGTGCTGCCCGGGCTGGAGCTGGCTTGTTGGTCTTCACCCAAGCCTAGTTCTGTGCTCGTTTGCCAAGGCCTCTCTTCTTCTTGTCCGTAACCTCGGGCAGTTTCTCTTCCCACAGGTTCTTGCTGCATACCCCGATCACGCAGCAAGCCAGGCGTTTCCCGGCGTTCCCATTTTCCAGGCTGGCTTTATTGTTGCCCTTGCCCATGTCGTCTTCCTGCTCGTGGATGACAACGGATCTGCCCATGATGGAGTAGGGACCAAGCATCGTGGCAGGGAGATTGGTTTTGTATTTTCTGATTTTGCCTTCTTTAGGGAAAAAGTTGCCGAAGTCCCCCGGGTGACGGGGGTGGTTGACGCTGAAGGGGTTGTAGTGTCCTCCCGTAGCATCGCAGCCTCTGCTGAGGTCCCCCAGCTCGTGGATGTGTATAGCTCTGCCGGACTGGTTGTTATCCAAGGGAAACCCATCCAAGTGAAAAACGGCTTCTAGTCTTCCCTGTGAGTAATACTGCCTGAATAAGACTTGTCCGGTCACTTGTGGCTTGTCGGCATCTATTTTGGAGCTGGGCTTCATTTCGCAAGCGGCGTAAATCATCCCCTCGCTGCCGTTACCGGGCGTTACTGGGTAGAGCAGGTTCTGCCAGAGGTCGGTGACTTTCTTCTGGATGTCATGGAGTGACTCTTGGCTCAGAGGGGTTTCTTTCTCTGTCGTGACGGCGGAGGCACAGAGGGCAAGCCCGGCGGCCAGGGAAAGCAGCAGGAGCATCTTGGCAGTTCGGAGCCTGCAAAAAAAAAAAAAAGGGTTTTTTGCAGCAAAGAAGAAGCAGCAAAGAATTAATGAGGGTTTTTTTTTTTGTGGAGAGAAAGGCAGGCAGCCCGCGGTGGGGCCGAGTGGTCCCGGTGGACTGCAGCTTTCTAAATCTGCCTGATGGGATGAACTGAAACCAAATCAGGAGGCACAGGCGTGTTTAAACGCATACAACTGACACAACACACCCGTGACTAAAAGAAATCATAGCGATTTTAGGTTTCACTCTGGATCTTTAAAAACTGCCTCTTTTTTTCCCCGCAGGAAGCGAGCGAGCCAAAGCGTTATTTAATCTGGGTTTGAGTTTGTGTTGAGCCTTTTCTCCTACTCCAAATTCCAGCAAGACAGTTTTGCCAGGAGGCTTTTTTTTATTTATTTTTTTAAAATTTTGATCCATCTACTTAACTGCTAGTTAGGCATTTTCAAAGGAAAAGTAGAAATCCAAGAAGCTGGTTACCTTGGGGTCCCTCGGCGGTGGCTCTGTCTGTGCCTCTGCTCCCTGAGCCCGAGATGTGACGGGGACAGAAAACTGGAGCCCTTTGAGGCTGATGCTTATGGGAAGTGCGTGTTTTGTGTAAAAGTTAGGTAACTTAGTTAGGGAGGCGTCACTTGGAGAACGGTGGGAGGGGAGAAAAAGTTTTAGGCATTTTCATTTGGGGCAGGGTGAGCGTTTCGTCCTTTCTCGGTTACTTTTATTAGTCTGGCTCTCGGTCCTCGTGGACATTCCAGAAAAAAGGGAGGGGGCCGGGGCGGGGGCGGGGGGAAAGTTCACAAGCTTTTAAATTAATCTTCCTTTTGATGACTTAATGTGCTTATCTAAAACAAGCGACCTTCAACGTGCAGTGAGGGGAAAGGAAGGAGGTTTGTTAAGGCGCAGCTGGGCAGTTCGCTTGCTCACGGGCTGGTTGTGATGGGGTCAGTTTGCATTACTTCTTTATTAGCCAAAAATTGGAAGTGGTTGCTTGAGCAACGCCAACGTAACATAAACACAGACCTACATCAAAGTTTTAAAAAACCTGAAGGGTGCAATTCAAGCTGTCAGATGTTGAGGTACATTTTTGAGCGATGCTTCTCTGTTAAGACTTAGAGCTGTCGGCTGCTTTACTTCCCAACTTACCTCCTCCACTGAAGTCATTTTTTTCTTCTTTTTTTTTTTTTTTGGAGGCAGCAGTGATTCCTTCCCAAAGAGAGCAGTAAGCAGTACGGTGCAGGCAGTGAGACATCAGACTGAGATGCAGAGAAGTTGTTTCCCAGAAGCTGTCTGGAGCAGGGACAGAGAGTTCACCCGTCTTTCATCATCCCGGGAGGCTGAGAAACGCTCTCCTCTTGGGGGCATTGCCCTGCCCGCGGGGCTTCCCGCTCTCGTAGAGCTGAAATGTGGATTCAGCCTTCACAAGAGCAATTTAACAGGCTGAGGTTTCTGCAGAGAGAGAGGAGAGTAGCTCTTATTACTCAGGAACAATTCTCAACGCAAGAAAATTGCAGAGAAAATCCTTTCTCCCCAGTTCACGTCTACTGCCAGCTGGGTAAGGAATGTGACTGTCGGCTTCTGGAATGGCAAAAGTGTGTGTGTTCATCTTACTGCTATCATATTCTACATCAGATCTGAGATACTCACTTATCTGAGAGCAGATTTATTTACCTTTTCATTCTGTATGAAGGAGATTAAAGGGGGTTGTCCACAATTTGGACCAGTAGCCAGGGACTGGAAATCCAGAGCTTACTTCTGCTTGGGATATTGGAGGTGTTACTTTAGCCCTGGGCTTCAGTTCCCAATCTAGGAAACAGGACAACTAGTGTATCTTTTAGGGCATTGGAACAGGCTGCCCAGGGAGGTGGTGGAGTCACCATCCCTGGCTGTGTTTAAGGGCCGTTTAGATGCAGTGCTAAGGGACATGGTGTAGGGGAGGACTTTGTAGAGTAGGGTAGATGGTTGGACTCGATGATCCCAAGGGTCTCTTCCAACCTAGATGATTCTATGATTCTTTTCTTTAGGGTATTGATGAGTTGTTCGGGGTTGTTTGGGGTTGTTCAGCCTGGAGAAAAGGAGGCTGAGGGGAGACCTCCTTGCTCTCTACAACTCCCTGAAAGGAGGGTGGAGAGGGGGGGGGTCCGTCTCTTCTCCCAAGTCACAGGCGACAGGACAAGAGGAAATGGCCTCAAGTTGGGCCAGGGGAGGTTCAGATTGGATATTAGGAAAAAAATTCTACACTGAAAGGGTTATCAAGCCTTGGAACAGGCTGCCCAGGGAAGTGGTTGAGGCAACATCCCTGGAGATATTTAAAAGACGGGTTGACATGGTGATTAGTGACATGGTTTAGTGCTGTTTTTTTATCAGAGTTAGGTTGATGGTTGGACTAGATGATCTGAAAGGTCCCTTCCAACCCAGACCACTCTATGATTCTATGATTGTTGTGCTTGTGGGAGCCGTGCAGTGTTCGGTGGAAGCTGAGCTCCAAGACCCAGAGCCAGGATTGCCCACATCACCCCAAGCCTAACGCTACGTGCTTCACCGCCTTTCTCCAAGTTCATTAACCGGCAGCCTCTGAGCTGGGGAAATCCATCCTTGCGACAAAATTGCTCGGTTTTAAAGCATTTGAAAGAAGTGAAATGTCTTATAATCAGCTTTTATAAACGTATGCCAAAAATGTTCAGCTAACAGCTAGCCAAATGCAAAGGGCGATGGGTTAAGCTTGTAAAATGCAAGAAGCAACTGCCCAGTCCAGCTACTATGAGAAAAACTCTTTCTTAGCATCATAAACCATTTTTTAAGGGGACAGGATGAGTGGAAGGAAGAAAGGATCATGGTTCATGGTCTGCTCCTTGAGTCTCAAAGTAACGGACTGCAATTGAGTTTAACGCTTCTGCAAGGAAATTTCCAAGCCAGCAGTCAGCGCTCCAAGAATAGAATTTTAAAGCTTTCTAAGGCATTTAGAAATAGGAACTGGGGTCAGAATTTTAGCTGGTTTAAATACAATAATGCTGCTGACTTTGGTGCCGTTTGTGCTGTTTTACACCAGCTGGGATTCTGCCCCTGAAAAGCCCAAGGTACTTGCTGCAAAGCTCTTTTTTTTTTTTTTTTTTTTTGATGTACTGCACATGCGGGAAGGGAGCAGGAATGCAGAAGGGTGTAAAGGAGATGATCAAAGGGACAGAAAGGACTGCAGCAAAAAGCTAAATGATGTATTTGTAGCACTCTGCACTTCAGAGAACCAAAAGGAAATACTAGCTGTGGGCTGCTGTCAGAAAGATGTATTTTAAAAAGGAGAAGGGCTGATAACGACAAGAAATGCAATTGCCAGGGTGATTTGGCATTCAGTCGGGGTCTGAAAGACGGTCGCTAAGTACTAACCAGGTGTATCATTAAAGTCTGTTGTTATCTATTGCCTGTGTTTTAGCTTTCTGGTTAAAAACAGGGGCCAACAGCCTTTAAAGCTGACAGCAGTTAATGGGAGGAAAGCTCCCGGTTACCTGACCACACGCTTGTAGAATCATAGAATGGTTAGAGTTGGAAGGGACCTTAAAGACCATCCAGTTCCAACCCCCTGCCATGGGCAGGGACACCTCCCACCAGACCAGGTTGCTCCAAGCCCCATCCAGCTTGGCCTTGAACCCCTCCAGGGATGGGGCAGCCACAGCTTCTCTGGGCAACCTGTTCCAGTGCCTCACCACCCTCACAGGAAAGAATTTCTTCCTAATATCTCATCTAAATCTCCCCTCTTTCAGTTCAGCCGTTACCCCTTGTCCTGTGGCTCCACTCCCTGATCAAGAGTCCCTCCCCATCTCTCCTGTAGCCCCTTGAGGGACTGGAAGGGGCTCTAAGGTCTCCCCAGAGCCTTCTCTTCTCCAGGCTGAACAACCCCAACTCTCTCAGCCTGTCCTCACAGGAGAGGTTCTCCAGCCCTCTGGGTATCTTCGTGGCCCTTCGCTGTACTTGTGTTACAATTCCTGTTTAAAAAATAGACCTCTGCTTTTGTCCCAGCTGTACAGGATCCATCCTACCCTGGATTTCATGCAATGTCCTAGAGTTTCCTGGGCTATACATACAGGACAGACTCATCAAAATGACTTCTGCGAGGCTCTCTAGGCTGCATAGAAAAACCAGACATGGCTTTGCAGTGGACTTTATACACGGCTCTGCTCACAAGGTCTCAATCCGTGCTTCAGTGTTGGTGAGTCAGTGGGTTTGTTTTGTGGCGACGCTGTCCCGTTGCATCGCCCTGCTGTTCAATTTAACATCATTTGATTTGTCCAGTGCGGAGTTAAACATGATGAAGAAGCCCTGCATTGGAGAGCATCCTTTTGTCGCAAGCAGTAGCCTTGTTTTGTGTCTCCAGCAGTTGGATCTGCTTGCGGTGATTTTACGGTAGAGTGATTCTCCATAAAAATGACATCCAGAGAATGCAGGTTTTACATCTTCTGCGGCGGGTGATGGAGCTGACTGCTTTTCTCCACGTCTGGCTGAGGCTAGAGCCACTAAAAGAGTGGGGAAGCAGTCAAGATCCTTGGGAAACTAATCTCCTCCAGTTCAGGGGGCTTTTCTGACATTTCTGAGCCATGGTCCCAGCCTGGGAACCAGTTACTAATGCTGGTGGGCCACCAGGGCAGCAGCAGGGGCACTTCTTGGTGTGTGGGACTTACCTGCTTGCTGTTTAGAGACTGCAGGGCACCAAAACTTCCTTCTTCATGTTGATTTTGGTACGGTATAGTATGTGGTCAGCACAGAAATTGCCTAATTTTCATCTGTCAGAGCTGTGAACAGCGCTGCTGGCTCAGGTGGGATGTGTCCAGAGAAGCTGTGGCTTCCCCATCCCTGGAGGGGTTCAAGGCCAGCCTGGATGGGCGTTTGGGCAACCTGGTGTGGTGGGAGGTGTCGCTGCCCATGGCAGGGGGGTTGGAACTGGATGATCTTTAAGTACCCTTCCAACCTGAACCATTGTGTATCAGGAACAGTGTGGCGAGTAGAACTCGGGAGGTGATTGTCCTGCTGTATTTGGCGCTGGTGAGGCCCCACCTCATGTCGTTTTGGGTCCCTTACCACAAAAAAGGACATTGAGGGGCTGGAGTGTGTCCAGAGAAGGGCAACGGAGCTGGTGAGGGGTCTGGAGAACAAGTCTTATGAGGAGAGGCTGGGGGATCTAGGGGGTGTTCAGCCTGGAGAAAAGGAGGCTGAGGGGAGACCTTCTCACTCTCTACAACTACCTGAAGGAGGGTGGGGAGAGGTGGGGTCGGTCTCTTCTCCCAAGGAACAGGCAACAGGACAAGAGGAAACAGCCTCAAATTGCACCAGGGGAGGTTCAGGTTGGATATTAGGAAAAATTTCTACACTGAAAGGGTTCTTAAGCCTTGGAATGGGCTGCCCAGGGAAGTGGTTGAGGCACCATCCCTGGAGGTGTTTAAAAGACAGGTAGACATAGTGCTCAGAGACACGGTTTAGTGCTGGTTTTTTAGCAGAGTTAGCTTGATCGTTGGACTAGAAGATCTTAAAGGTCCCTTCCAACCTGGACAATTCTATGATTCAGAAAGCAGAAATTCTGCCCATCCGTCTCTGGTGGAGCCCCACTGCTCCCCAGAGAGGGGCTTCCTCCCAGGCCGAGCAAGTTTAGCCTGGGTGGGAAGCATGGGGCTGGCCCTGGACAGCAAGCAGCACCTCCTCCTGCAGAAGTCACAGCAGAGGAACTTGTTTGCAATTGCTATAAGGGAAGAAAAAAAAAAAGAAAATGAAAAATCTTGCTGTAGCAAACAGAAAATCTGTCGCTGGTGGAGGCTAACTCTTTTACTCCTGTTCCTTGTCTTGGTGTTTCTATTTAAAGAAATAAAAATATTTAGTGCCTGAGATAAGCATCCATTTATAATATTCTTGCAAAAGAACTATATTCTTTTCCAACTTTTCAGGGCACTACCCATAAAAAAAAAAATTGAATTAAATAAATATACCAAAGGAAAACAACACTGTTCTCTCTGGGGAATAATTTCTCTTGAAAATAGAAGATCATGCAACTGTCAAACGACTCTACCATCAGCCAATTTGAAAAATTCTTGAAATTCTTCCCCTTAATAGCTTGAGAAGAAATCATTTTATCAGAGTGAGGGAGAGATGAAGTGTAAGTAAGCTTTTTTAAAAAGCTGCATTCAGAAACTCAATCTAGGTCTGTCAGCCTAATTTAACAGAATTTCATCTTCCCGTGTGGATACAAAATATAAATATGTAATGTAAAAAGTAGGGATGGAACCCATCTATCAGATAATTTAGGTTATTATTTGTGTTTGCAGTAATTCCCTGACCCTTTATTAGATTTTTATCCTTTCTACTGCATAGCATGAATCTGAAGAGACGTTTGCTGTTTCATGGAATCATAGAATTGCCTGGGTTGGAAGGGACCTTTAAGATCATCTAGTCCAACCATCAACCTAACTCTGATGAAAAAACAAATCAAACCAAAAAAACCCTCATTATTAAACCATGTCTCTAAGCACTGTATCAACCTGTCTTTTGAATGCCGCCAGGGATGGTGCCTCAACCGCCTGTGGAACTTCCTATGTTCAAGTTTGTGCCCATTTCCTCTTGTCCTGTCCCTGGGCACCACTGGAAAAAGACTGGCCCCATCCTCCTGACACCCACCCTTCAAATATTTATAGGTGTTGATAAGATCCCCCCTCAGCCTTCTCTTCTCCAGACTAAAAAGCCCCAAGTCCCTCAACCTTTCCTCGTAAGAGAGATGCTCCAGGTCCCTCATCATCTGTGTAACCTTCTGCTGTACCCTCTCCAGCAGTTCCCTGTCCTTCTGGAACTGGGGAGCCCAGAACTGGACACCGTACCCAACCACACCAACGGAAATCATGACTTAAGCTTGTCTATCCCGTATTTAAAACTCATCATGAAGGAAGAATCTACCACCGCCCTTTCTCTTCTAGGTTTTTCTGCTCTCTGGCCTGGTTCTTGCTGCAGATTAGACCCATTGTCTAAACTACTACAGGTATGGGGGACAGATCGTTCCCTTCTTTGCAGCAGAGCAAACCTGAGAGTTCAGCTCTGTACTGATGGCCTTCAGCTAAGCAGTCCTAGTTCTTTCCAGCTTTCCTCCTAAATTTTGTAGGCTCCTGTGCTGAGTAGATGGCCTTTTTCCTATGGACAGGAAGAGAAGTGCACATCAGCTGGTGGTCATGGACTTGTCTTGCCGACCGTATCACTCTCTGTATCATAACGTGATCTTTGCCTGATCCTTTCCTGAAGAACTGCTGTCTCAGCAATTGTTTCCATTTAATATTTCTTTCCTTGGCTGTTCCTGTCGAGTGTGGGATTTTACCTTTGTCTTAACTGAGTTCCCTCCTTTTATTTTATTTATTTTTTTTAATTCCCCTCCCCACCACCCCTTATTATTCCTCCAGCTTGTCACGAACATTTTGAATTCTCATCCTTCCCCACGGTGTATTTACAGCCCTTCCAGCTTGGTATCAGCTGTGAATTTAATCAGTTTGCTTTTTGTTCCCCTCATCCCAAGTCGTTAACAGAAGGGCTGAATAATACTGATTCGGAGACAAACGTCGGCACCCGAGGCAGGCTCTCCTCCCCGTTGGGAAGGGACTGGTTTCCAGACTCTGTACAGAGCTGATGGGAAATCTGCACCCAGTCTGGAAACCAGTGTGGAACCTGGAAACCAGGACTGTGATCAAGACCATTTGTTTTTTTCCCCCCAGCTTGTAAGATTTTGATGTGAGAGAGTAGTTAGGACACTTAGTAAAGTTAAGATAAACATCTACTACTTCTCTATATGCAAGAGACACATTATTGTCTCGAAGAAGGAAAATAAAAAGTTCCTGATGCTTTTTTTTATTTATTTTCCTTTCTGGCTTTCGGGCAAATGCAAAAGTTTGCCTCTTTTAGTGTTTTTTTTTCTGTGGCCATGACTCCTGAAATGAGCCTGACCTACTCTCCCTGAATCCTTGGACTTCATAGGAACCAAAATTTACTGTCCTGATCTCAATGCACCCGCGTTACCATTATTCCCCTGGGAGAGAAGTGTCTTTGAAGTCCTGCCTGATACAAAGTGCTGTCTGAAACCTTAGGCATCTAAAAACTAATGAAAAGCCAGCTTTATGTGCCCATCCCCACATTGTTGTATCTCCCTTCTGCCAGGAGAGTCGATGGGACCTGTTGTATTTTAATGTTACATCAGCTATGGAGAGTTGGGTGGAGAGAAACCTAATAAAGTTCAACAAGGGCTCTGCACCTGGGGAGGAATAACCCCCTGCACCAGTAGAGGTTGGGGGCTGACCTGCTGGAGAGCAGCTCTGAGGAGAAAGCCCTGCGAGTCCTGGTGGACAATAGGATGAGCATGAGCCAGCAATGTGCCCTTGTGGTCAAGAAAGCCAACGGCATCCTGGGGTGCATCAAGAAGATTGTGATTGTCCCTTCTACTCTGCCCTGGGGAGGCCCCATCTGGAGTCCTGTGTCCCATTCTGGGCTCCCCAGTTCAAGAATGATAGGGAAGTCCACTGACAGGACAAGAGATAACGGGCACAAACTTGAACATAGGAAGTTCCATCTAAACATGAGGAGGAACTTCCCTACTTTGAGGGTGCCAGAGCACTGGAACAGGCTGCCTGGAGAGGTGGTGGAGCCTCCATCTCTGGAGACATTCAAAACACACCTGGATGCCATGCTATGCAACCTGCTCTGGGTGATGCTCCTCTGGCAGGGGGTTGGACTAGATGATCTCCAGAGGTCCCTTCCAACCCTATGTCATTCTGTGAAGGTCTTGGTTACTCCCATGCCCAACAGGAGACAAGAAGCCTCCTCTTAGCACTTAAATTCTTGCAGGCACCAAAGGCTCTGCTTTGCACAAGAGCAAGTGAGAGGTCAGCAGAAGCTGAGAGCAACCGTGTTTTATGAAGACAAAAGTCCACCTGCCTTTGATAGTCAAAAGCAGCTCCTGCTCTGGTAAGAGCCCAGCTGCTTTTGATGAAGTCAAGGCTCAGCAGCATCTGGGAGCATCAAGGCTTCTCGTCCTTGAAGAGTGCAGGAGAGCGGATTGAGTTCCTGGAGGCTTTCTCAAAGCAGGTATTTCACCCCAGATGTTGTGCTATGATACTATTTAAAAGAAAAAGAAAAAAGTATGGCTTACTGTTGGATTTTCTTTGAAAACTGGGCAGAATAGCTCAGGGTCTGAACCTCCAAGTGCATTTCAAAGCACTTTGTGGTAAAAACCATTGTATTTGTATCTTTCAGAACAGCAGGGGGGGGAAAAAAAACCATACATTTTTTTTGTCGAGTAAAAATTGTTTCCCTTGTAAAGTGGCCCCCCACCTTTTTAGCCATATTCCTTCTAGTGGGCTGATTTTTGTAAGCATAACTGAAACCCTGGGAGACTAATGAGGTTTAACACTCTGTGTTAATTATATCCACTTTTGTTGTCTCAGTGAAAACACGGGATCCTAAATCCTGTTTACCATCTGAAATTTGGCGGGTCCCAGCCCCTGGGCTGACCTTAACGTCTCTTAGTTTCACGCGGCGTTTGTAAGCCTGGGCAGGTATTTAAGTTCCCCCACGGAGAACGGGTTTGGAGATCAGATGCTCAGGGATTAGGAACACAGGAGGCTTTTTTACCTTGTTTAAAATCATTTTGACATTTTAGTGCAAGTCATTAAGATTGTTTTCCTGAAGTGTCAAATGGGCCACAGTATGGGTGAACCATTTCTGGGGAAATCAAATGAAAACACTTTAATTTCTAAATGACTCACCTTTTAAGAATTTTAACATAAATATTTTGCATGCTCTGAATTTTCTACCTGTGTTTTCATCTGAATTCCTCCCCTGGGAAGATTAATTCTAAACTAAGTAAATAATAAAAGTCAGCGGCCATTCTGTGGGAATCATAGAATTGTCCAGGTTGGAAGGGACCTTTAAGATCTTCTAGTCCAACCATCAACCTAACTCTGATAAAAACCATCACTAAACCATGTCCCCCTGTCTTTTGAACACCTCCAGAGATGGTGCCTCAACCACTTCCCTGGGCAGCCCATTCCAAGACTTGATAACCCTTTCAGTGTAAACATTTTTCTTAATATCCAATCTGAACCTCCTCTGGTGCCACTTGAGGCCATTTCTTCTTGTCCCATCACCTATGACTTGGGAGAAGAGACCGACCCCACCTCTCTCCACCCTCCTTTCAGGGAGTTGTAGAGAGCGAGAAGGTCTCTCCTGAGCCTCCTTTTCTCCAGGCTGAACACCCCCAGCTCCCTCAACCTCTCCTCATAAGACTTGTGCTCCAGACCCCTCACCAGCTCTGTTCCCCTTCTCTGGACCCACTCCAGCACCTCAATGTTTTTTTTTTTTGTGATAAGGTCCCCAAAACTGGACACAGCACTTGAGGTGGGGCCTCACCAGTGCCTAGTACAAGGGGATGATCACCTCTTGGGTCCTACTCACCACGCCGTTTCTGATACAGGCCAGGATGCTGTTGGCCTTCTTGGCCACCTGGGCGCAGTGGGGGAGCAAGTAGGAGTAGTGGCTTCTGTCTGGAGACACCCTTGGTGCTGTTTATATTTGAATTTGCTTCCTTTTTTTCTTGGTGGTTGTTTCTTTTTTTCCCTTTTAACCATGCAGAAGGTGTCAGGTCTTAGCATCTCCACAGAGATGCAGCGTGGTCCTGCGGGTTCTGATTTCAGACCAGGTGAATCCCATTAGTTCCGACCCAGCAGCACAAAGGATTTGAGCATCTCCGAAGCCGGGTGTTTGGCTGCAGAAAAACCAGAGGATAGAGAGGAGGGAAAAACACGTGAAGGGATTGTGTGCGTTAATAACCCAGGCTGAGAATGCCACCTGCCTACAGAAAGGTTTTCAACTCACAGGGCATGGAGTTCTTAATAGTATTCCATTAGATATAATGAGGTGTGCCGGTGCGGATTTCCCCCATGAAGTTAGTACACATTTGTACAAAATAAGGCTCCTGCTGGGGTGTTTTTATGAATGTGGAGTCTTTCGGTTCCAGTTAAATAGGATAAGCAGCTGTTTTCCAAGGCACGCGGAGAAATCCTTGGATTGGTTGTTTTTCCTACCCTCAGCGTTAGGATGCCTACAAAAAAAAGGAAAAAAGAATAAAACCACAGAAATATTTCACTGTGGTCTTCCTGAAGGGAATGCTTCAGAAACCGTTCTAATAGATGCAGGGAAAAACAATGAGAAAAAACCATTTTCTTTGTTCTTTTATTTTGTTACAAACCTTCCATCTCCAGCCTACAGGTTTCCCTCCCATGAGTTGTCATCTGTTTTGTCACTCACAAGGCTTTATTCCCCAAACCTGCAGATGTTATTAAACCTGAGGATTATAAGGTTATGTAGTAGGTGGTAGAAGCCAGATACAGATTGGCTGTTTTTATTAGAGGATTACCAAATTCTGTTAATAGGCGTGCGCCTGAGTCATTCCCCTGGAAGCTCTGCTGTGCTTGTTATGAAACTTCTCATTCTGAAGCAGGTATGGAGTTGCACCTTAGCAATGTTCTCTGACTACACTGAGGATAGGTCACATTTGTGATTGTAGAATCATAGGATGGTTTGGGTTGGAAGGGACCTTAAAGATCATCGAGTTCCAACCCCCCTGCCCTGGGCAGGGACACCTCCCACCAGACCAGGTTGCTCCAAGCCCCATCCAGCCTGGCCTTGAACCCCTCCAGGGATGGGGCAGCCACAGCTTCTCTGGGCAACCTGTTCCAGTGTCTCACCCCCCTCACAGGAAAGAATTTCTTCCTGAGATCTTATCAAAATCTCCACTCTTTCAGTTTGAAGCCATTATCCCTTGTCCTATGGCTCCACTCCCTGATCCAGGGGCCCTCCCCATCTCTCCTGTAGCCCCTTGAGGGACTGAAAGTGGCTCTAAGGTCTCCCTGGATTCTTCTCTTCTCCCTCCCAGTCAGACCCAGTACACCTGCCAGGCTGGATGCTGGCATGGCCCCATACTGGAAGGGAAAAGAGAAAACAGATTTGTAAGTTGCAGCTAATGTGGTTTGCAATTCCAAGAGGAAAGTGAAAGGTATTGAGTAAGGACTGTGTTTTGTGCTCTCAGGTACACCTTTCCTTCTGCTGCAGGGCTGAATTACTGCTGCTCTGATAATAAAGTCCACTTGATTTGTCTGAGCAGACTCCTAATCGCTTAATAAATCACTTGAAAAGTTATTTGGTGGAGTGGCAAATTATTAACTGGCTGGAGATCCAGCAAGCAGCAGCTGTTTCCTACTAGAAACCTGACTGGGAGAACTGGCCCAAGGATGCCCATGTTCACTGCCAGAACCATGATTTTTTTTTTTTTCCTAAATTTTAAAGTTATTCCCCACTTGTGTCCACAGGGAAAGGGAAAAAATTTGGGTCTATGTATATAATTTTGAAGTGTAATTAGTGGCATAAATGAATGTTTGCTATTCATACTATATTTATGTATTTCCTAGCTGTGAATTAGTCATACGGATCCTGCTCCACTCTCAATCTATTCATCTATTTGAGGAGTTCTGATTATTCAGTTTATTAAAATCCAGTTGTATGTTTCTGCCTTGATTATGGATACTTACTCATGTTTCTGACTAGATCTAAAGAGGCAGGGTAATATTCTTAGCAGAATATTAGGTGCAGTAATATTAAATCAAAATATTCTTTTGATTTAATGGATAGTTTTTAATTTCAAGATTGCTCTCACAATATCCAACTGGGTGGGGCTTTTAAAATTAGCTTTGGGAGAGTTCAGCTAGAATTCCACTATGAAATTTGGATTTTTTTTTAAAAAAGCACATCAAAAATTAAATCTCTCTGTAAGGTAGAACAGAGGATGCACGCCATGTAATCACGTAGTTAGAAAGTTCCTCGTTATAGCCATATAGTCTCATTTTTCCAGGCAACAGAAGAGAATCTCTGTGTTCTGGATGCTTCTGGTGTGGTGTGACTACATCCTTTGATAATTGCTGCATGAAGCTTCATCAAAGAACACTGTCACATCACAATAGGAAATGGGGTCCTGAGATTAAAAGGCAGATTTGGATTCTGGATGTGTTTTAGACATAGAATAAGCCGTCTCACCTCCTCTTACCTCCAATTTGCCCTTCTTCCAAACGTCCATAACGATGACTCACTTCCTCAGGAGGGTACTTTGAGGCTTGGATGAAGTCTGAGGAGTTGTTTCTGACCCTGAGAAAATTGATGTCAGAAGTTGCAATATTGGAATACTAATCTTTCGAGGCCTGGATAAATAATTGCTGGCAAATTTAAAGCTATTTTATCTGCAATTTTTTGGGCCCCCTCTCTAATATTCTTTGAATTAGTAGAGTCCAAACTCAACACAGACAACAGAGGAGAGAGTGGACACTGCTTGCTTAAGTAAACAACAGCCAGAGCCCAAATTATTAGTAAATACCAAGGCTTCATTTAGGTTGAATAACGCTGCAATCCAACAAATAAATGAGCCATCAAGTTTGAATTTATGTAGCATACGAAACACATTAAAGCCATCTGACCATGACAAAGGCCTTTTCTGCTGTGAATAATGAGGCCAACGCATTATAATATCCTTTAGATGAGACATTAAACCCAAGGTCCTTTCTGTTTGTCTCTGGTGGCTGTCCAGGTGGAAGTTAAAGGCTCCATGGCATTTCACTAAAACCATGGAAAATCTCTGTCCCCCAATGGTATTTCTTTCCCTGTAAATAAATAGAAGAAATTAAAAAATTAGAATAGCCAAGGCTGTGTATGAGTTGAATATCATCAAGCAAAATGCCAATTTTCCTATCCGTGGGGACAATGGGGAAAGTTCTCTTATTTCAGTGAGAGCAAGGTCAGTGTCTCTGGTGCGATGGTAGGACTTCAAAACCCCTTTGGCATTTTGAGAATGTAAAGCACGGAAAAAAATGCTTCATTCTCCTCATTAACAAAAATTCTGCTGAAGAAGAACAAATCCCAGTAATATAGGATGTGTCTGTGCTTGAATAACCTTTACATGTGTCATTTCCAAGAAGAAATGGTTTGGAGACGAGCAGAAAATAATTGTGCCAGGCAGAATTTCATGCCGTAGCCTGTCCACCTGTGATGCACATCAAAAGTCCAGCTCCATTTCCAGCTTCTTTTGCATAACCCCAATGATTTTGTGTCGCTTGAGGTATTTTAGCTACACCTTTAGTTTGATATAAGCCTCGATGTGTATTTATCTATCTATTTTCCGAGTGGAAATCTGGCTCTTGCTCCCCTGAGCCTGCATCTTAGCTGTGTAGATTCACACCAGTGTTCCTCAGCATTCATAAGGATACGGGATGAGGTCATGGAAAGGTAAATTTCAGAGTCCTCTCCTAGGTGTAGATCTATTATCTTATTGTTATCAAGATGACAGGGCTCACTCCTTTGAATTTAAAGGGATTAAAGAGAGGATAAGAGAAGCAGAAGACTCAGGCCAGAGCTGAGCTCCCTTTGCAGCACAGATGATGAAGCCTTTCATGAAGAGCTGACTGATGAATCTGGGCATCTTTCAATGTCCTGAATAATGAGCCGGTTCTTCCCTCTTGCCGAGAAACATATGGGATGTGAGGAAAATCAGCTGGAAACCCAGCCACGTCTCTCCCGTTCCCTACGGACGGAAAACCAGTGCCTTGTGAGGAAAGATGCTTTTGGGGGAAACCTCAGTTAAAGTAAGCTCAGCCTTTGTGAGTCTTATGCCCCTTCATGTTCTGCTCCCCTTTTATCAGCAGGAATGCCCCGGAAAGCTGAGGTTTCTTGTCCAACAGAGATGGATGCTGGCTGGGCTAAGGAATCTGCTCTGCTGCCTTTTTTCAACATATATCTGCTCGAAACTCCTGACCCCATGGAAACGTCCCAAAGGTCGTATCTTTCAGTTTCCAGTATTCCTTCATCTTTGAGAAAGACACTTTCCAAGAGAGGAGAAGGTGGTAAGAGGATAGCGATGTAAATATCTGTCCATGACACGCCTTAATATTGATTTCAGTGGCTTTAATTTCATTTATCCCCAGAATATTTATAGAAAGTTCTAATAACGAGGACTAAACCCACATTTTTTTCCTTTTCTTTATTTCCCATCTTTTTTTTTTTTTAATTCTTTTTCCAAAAGTCATAAAAGACCACGCTTTATCATGGATTTAATGATGCTTAAAGATGCAGGTTCTTCGTGGGCTTTGTTTTCAAAGTGTTTTCTTTATTTCCCATCTTTTTTTTTTTTTTCTTTTTCCAGAAGTCATTATAGACCACACTTTATGATGGACTTAATGACGCTTAAAGATGCAGGTTCTTCGTGGGCTTCATTTTCAAAGCATGAAGATCTTAGTAGCATAGACCACCTCGTGCAGGGAGGATGAAGGTCATTGAAGCAGCAAAGAGAGGCCGTGGCACAGGACAGGTCTGAATGGGCTCCATCAGTCTCGCTCCCCACACCTTAAAAGGTTAGGAAAAAACTTTCCCAGACCTTCCTATCCACAAAATTTATGTGTGCTATCCAATCCGTGTTACTTGTCTAAATGGGAAGGACTACAAAGAAGACATTTGAATATCAAATGGATTTTTAAACTATGCCTTTTCATTTGTGGCAATAATTAAAGATGTTATTCTAATCGAAGGGGCCAGATTCAGCCCGTGCTTCGTGACAGCCGCTTCGCACCAGGTCACCACAAGCCTTGGAAGAAGTGTTAAGTGGCCTTCAAAGCAACCAGTGGAGATTTCTTTGTGGTGGATCTCTCCTGGACGGGCACAGACAAGAATTTGTCCCCTCAAATTTAGCTCACTAACTTCTAAAACCAAAAAAATTTCAGTAATCTGAAAATTTTGTCTAATTTTCCACACGATCGTGTTTGGTATCAGTGTGACCCTTCCACAAATTACCTACATAGCTTTATTCTATACCTTAAAATATTTTCAACATATATTCAACTCAACAGGATTTTTTTTTTTTTTAAAGTTACTGATTCCTAACCTTCCTTTTTTTGTTTTTTACTTGCTGTCCAAAAAAACCTGGAGGCAGGGTGCTCACAGCATAGGGTCTGTGATACATGACTGGATTGTTTGGACTCCATCCAGCGGAGGGTGGTGATAGACATCTGCCCCAAAAGCAATTAACTGCGATGGATTTGGAGAGACAAAATAATCCAGTGGTCATCTACCACCTCAAGGAAGGGTTAGTGTTAGAAACAGCGTTGTTGTTTATTGTGATTTGGGGTTGTTGGGTTTTTTGGGGTTTTTTTCTGCTATTTAACTCACAGTTTTCAAGAATTAAGGGAAAAAAAAAAAAAATGCAAAATATTTTACCATCTAACATAGACAACAATATGTAGAGGTAATTAATAGGGACATTTGAAGGGAAAACAGGGTCGCACCATTAGCCCCTACTAAAACGCCTCCGAGTTGATGAATTATTTTAATGGGACAGAATGACAAAAAAGGGACTGTTTCACCTAAGCAGGGACAGCTGGTCCCTCTGACAAGGATGCATTGCTGTCTTGCGGAGCCTGCCAGCCAGCAAGGCTGAAATAATAGCGCCGAGAGAGGTGTGAACGCTCCTCGTTCACCTTAATTGAGAGCTAATATGAAGCCTAATTATGAGCACTTTGTATTAACTGCTTCCTGTCTGAAGGCAGGCACCTGATGCACAGCCTCCATCCCGCCCTTCCCAGCCCTGCCTTGATTTTCCAAACGCATCCCAATGCCACGATGTGTCAAACCGCATCCCATTGACAACTGCCCCCCCCTGAGGTTTTTGATATTATTTTTGATCCTATTTAGGGTGGTGAGTAGGACTCAGGAGGTGATTGTCCCCCTGTACTGGGCACTGGTGAGGCCCCACCTCAAGGGCTGTGTCCAGTTTTGGGCACCTTATCACAAAAAAAACATTGTGGTGCTGGAGCGGGTCCAGAGAAGGGCAACGGAGCTGGTGAGGGGTCTGGAGAACAAGTCTTGTGAGGAGAGGCTGAGGGAGCTGGGGGTGTTCAGCCTGGAGAAAAGGAGGCTGAGGGGAGACCTTCTCGCTCTCTGCAACTCCCTGAAAGGAGGGTGGAGAGAGGTGGGGGTTGGTCTCTTCTCCCAAGGAACAGGCAATGGGACAAGAGGAAATGGCCTCAAGTTGCACCAGGGGACGTTCAGATTGGATATTAGGAAAAATGTTTACACAGAAAGGGTTCTTAAGCATTGGAATGGGCTGCCCAGGGCAGTGGTTGAGGCACCATCCCTGAAGGTGTTCAAAAGATGGGTTGACATGGTGCTTAGTGACATGGTTTAGTGATGCAGGGGGTGGGGTGGGGGGTGGACTAAATGATCTTAAAAGTCCCTTCCAACCTGGACAATTCTATGATTCTGTGATTCTGTTCCCAGGAGCTTGGGACAAAATTTCCATCTGGGAAAGAACTTCAAAAAGCAGAACCTCCCCCTTGGGCGCAGCTCTCCAGGACCTTTAGGGGCTGCACCCCAAGAGAAATATCCCCCCCCAACCCTGTGCTGCAAACGGTGGGGTGCAGGAGCCGAGGAGCGGGGTCCATCCTCGAGCCAGCGAGAGCCACCAGCATCCCAGGACAGACGTGCCAGCACAGACCACACCAACCCGAGCCATCTGCCAGGATCCAAAGCACGGCAGGTGGGATTAGAGGATTTAGGCGACTAATTGCAGAATTTACTTTGGTACCGAAGCGTTTGTGCGAGGGGGAGAGAGGGGAGGGGGGATTAACACAACTGCCGGAGAGTTCTCCCAATTATTTGAAAGGTGGTTGTAAAACCGTCTGTTTTATCTCGCATCTCACCTGCTTCTGAGGACAAAAGTGCTTAAATTTGAAAATGCCAACAGGATGGGGATGGGGTGGCTCAGGGGATGGAGGCTAAGGCTGGCAGGGCTTCATTTGTGAGCCAGTGGAGAATGCAAGGCACTGCCCATTTGCTGGCTTTTGTGGACTGTGTTAAATCAGAGTGGGGAAACCACAGCCTGGTTCCAAAACAATTAAGAACCTGATCCTACTTCCACTTAAAAGAGTGGTCCAAGATTGAGGCTTAAAGCGCCACGTGGCAAATCCTCGGTGCTACTTTTAGCAAGTGTCCTGGCCGGGCTCATCCTGATGCTCAGGTTTGAAAGGAAAAAGTGGGGAGTATCTGGTGTCTCTCATTGGCATTAAAAAAAAAAACAACCAACCCACAAACCTACGTGGGAGGGAGGGGGAAGGAAAAAGAGGATGGAAAACAAGCTAAGAGAAAAAAAAACCGAAACAAAACAAAACACAAAAGAACAAACAAACAGAAAAACCGTGCCAAAACCAAAGCCTTTGGTCCCCTGATCAAACCAGCTTTGATCAATGCATCTATTCTCAGAAGCGCCCTATTTTAGAAAGCAGCTCGCTTTCTAACAAATAAAGAATTGCTCTGTGGTTTCTTTCCAAAGCTTAAATTCAGCTTTCTAGAGTAAGATGAAAAGCTAATTTTCTTGAAGTTTAACATATTTGTGTAAGCATGTCAGGTGAAATAAATGACATTGATATTCAGTGTGTATATAGGTGGCACCAGCTCCCAAAACTCTATCTCTTTTTCATCTTACTGGAACATTAACTTGTGCTCCTGAGGGCTATGCGGCATGCAGAGTGAGAGTGCGAACTTAAGGATAATTTATCATAGCTCTCTCCTGTGTATCACTCTCTTTCCCTCAACTTTTCCATATCAGAATACAGAATAGAGGGATTTTACTTGTGCCTCGGCTGCCTCTGATGGCATCCAGGGTAGGGTCTCACTCAAAAGAGATATCTGCATCCTTCAGATTGACTTCTCAGCCTTGGTAAGGAGATGCGTGGACATCCTACCATAACAACTGCTTCAAAGGAAGCTTAAGAATTGGTCTTTTCAATAACCATAGTAACAGTAACATATATCAAGAGCTGTAGGAAGGGCAGAAGTAAGGGATAGGAGCTGGTGACAGAGAGGACCAAGGAGCATCATTCTTTACTCCTCCTTCAACCAGCTGTGAGCAGCAGCTCTGGAAAGGCTTGGACTCTCTTTTCATTATGCATCTGTACACTGGTCAGGGTGACAGAGGTGTTTGTTCCTCTACTACAGGTGCTATCTGAATAAGCACAGCAATTAACAAGAGAATAGAAACGTAATTTTAATGACATCGTAGAGTATGTGGCGCTGGCACCCAGTTTCCCCTTTTCATATTGATAGTGATAAATTACTCTGTATGAATCACTTAAACTTACAGGTACTGATCTCTTCTCCCTGGTGTCCAGGGTTAAGACACGTGGGAATGGTTCAAAGCTGTGCCAGGGGAGGTTCAGGATGGACTTTAGGAACCATTTCTTTTCCGAGAGGGTGGTCTAACACTGGACCAGGCTTCCTAGAGAGGTGGTCAATGCCTCAAGCCTATCAGTGTTTAAAATACATTTAAGGACAATGCCCTTAACCACATGCTTTCACTTGGTCAGCCCTGAAGTGCTCAGGCAGTTGGACCAGATGGTCATTGTAGGTCCTTTCCAACTGCAACAGCCTATCCCAGCCTATTCCATAAGTTACCTTTGAAGTAGTGCTCAGTTTTGCAGTTTGGATTTACAGAAGAGGGAACTGAGGCACACGTAGGTTACAAAGACTTTTTCCTTGAGGAAAAAGACTTTCTCCCTTGAGGAGATGTCATCCAGAGTGCAGCAATTCCCCTGGAGGATCAAGAGCCAGGGTTCCTGTTTATCCATCTTTAGCTCTGTCCATATGAGGAAAAGGCAGAGCTTGGCACAGGAGGACACCTTGCAGATTTGCCTCTGCAGCCTTTACTTCCATCCATCCCAGAGCCAAACCACAGAAGAACAGTCATAGGCAGCTTGCAGAGCTGTCACCTGGAGGAAGTGTTGTTCAACAGAACGGGTATTTCCCAACAACCTGACTCTTGAAGCCTGAAAATTAAAAACAGGGAGTTGTGGAGTCTTTTAAACCCCAGAAGCAAGCACACAGAAAACACAGAAATCAGGAAGCACGAGCTACAGTCCATGAACAATATGAATATTAATACAAAGAGTAAATATAGGTTAAAAAAGATTCTTTTGGGGTTTTTTTGAAGTTGTTTTTATGTTTTTTAAAACAGAACAGATGACAAAAATGAAGAGGATGTGCCTCCAGAGGAGGAAAGGGATTTGGGTGGTAAATCCCAGAATCAGAAGGCCACGGAAGAGCCTGAAATCTTCAGAAGGCTGGGCTGAGAAGAACAATGCACGTGCCTCCAGAGGAGGAAAGGGATTTGGGTGCTGAATCCCAGAATCAGGCGGCCATGGAAGAGCCTGACATCCATCTGACATGGACTGAGAAGAACAATGCAAAGACTAGAACAAGTGAGATGTTTTACAGCTCCAGAAAGCTAAGCAAACCACCTCACAGACTGAGAACATAAGGTACGGTGTCTCACAGCCCATATGTTGTCCTTTCCCTTGGGAGGAGGGAGATATAAATAGCTCTTCAGTGGTTTGTACTAAACCATGGTCTTCCTGGTGTAATACCTTGGCACAGACTTAAGTTGTTTGGAGTCAGACTTAGCAGCCTGACCGGCTCAGAAACCCTTCTCCTTCTCTGATAAGCTCCTTCCACTGTTATCTGCTGGTCGTTTTAGCACAGGCTTGTCACAGCTATAGCTGCTACTCCAACAGGACAAGAGCTGTTGCAGAACAGGAGCAAACTGCCATGATGCTAGTGATGAAAAGGTTGGCACTTTGAAGAAGTAGGGTGCAGCCAATTCCATTTCTGCTTCTCTGTCACACAAATGCAGCACTTAAACATGCAAAAAACCAAAACCAAAGCAAAAAGAAAGAAATAGCATCATTGTCATCTTCTGCTTCAGCAAAGTCAGTTCCCACCAGCTGGGTGGTTGGTGGTGGGCAATGGTTTTCATTTCCATCACTTGTCTTTCTCAGTTTTATTTTACTCCCTCTTCATTATTTTTTTTTCTTCTTTTCCTTACTTTTTTTAAAAAATTATTATCTCTTTTAAATTATTGAACTGTTTTTATCTCAACCCATGAGTTTCTTTCTCACTTTTACCCTTCCAATCCTCCCTCCATCCCATTGCAGGGGGAGTGAGGGAGTGAGCGAGATTTTACTCCCTCTTCATTATTTTTTTTTCTTCTTTTCCTTACTTTTTTTAAAAAATTATTATCTCTTTTAAATTATTGAACTGTTTTTATCTCAACCCATGAGTTTCTTTCTCACTTTCACCCTTCCAATCCTCCCTCCATCCCACTGCGGGGGGAGTGAGGGAGTGAGCGACCAGCTTAGTTGGTGGTTAGTCACTGGCCAGGGTTAAACCACCACACAGACCAGGCTTTTTTCATTATCATTTCATTATCATTTCATTTGTCATAAACCAAGGATATTTTTTTATATCCAAGGATCTTCTTCATTATTTTTTTTTCTTCTTTTCCTTACTTTAAAAAAAATTATTATCTCTTTTAAATTATTGAACTGTTTTTATCTCAACCCATGAGTTTCTTTCTCACTTTTACCCTTCCAATCCTCCCTCCATCCCATTGCAGGGGGAGTGAGGGAGTGAGCGAGCAGCTTAGTTGGTGGTTAGTCACTGGCCAGGGTTAAACCACCACACAGGGACAATGGTTTTCATTATCATTTCATTATCATTTCATTTGTCATAAACCAAGGATATTTTTTTATATCCAAGGATCTGGATGGTCTAGATCCTACATACTGAAGTATTCACTTAAGTGTGCAGTAGCCATCAGTACGTAAAAGCGCTGGATGGTCTAGATCCTACATACTGAAGTAATCACTTAAGCATGCAGTAGCCATCAGTACGTAAAAGCTGTTGATTTCCAAGGTAAAACTGGCATCAGCAAGCAAGGGGAGCCTAAGAAAGAAACAGCCCTCACACTGTGTTCTCACCAAATCTTCACAGAATCACAGAATGATTTGGGGTTGGAAGAGACCTCTGGAGATCATCTAGTCCAACCCCCCTGCCAGAGCAGGTCCACCCAAAGCAGGTCCCACAGGAACGTGTCCAGGGAGGGTTTGAATGTCTCCAGAGAAGGAGACTCCACCACCTCTCTCTCTGGGCAGCCTCTTCCTGTGCCACCCTCACAGGAAAGAAGTTCCTCCTCATGTTCAGATGGAACTTCCTAAGTTCCAGTTTGTGCCCATCACCTCTTGTCCTGTCACTGGGCACCACTGAAAAAGGACTGGTCCCATCCTCCTGACACCCACCCTTGAAGTATTTATAGGTGTTGATCAGATCCCCCCTCAGCCTTTTCTTCTCCAGACTAAAAAGACCCAAGTCCCTCATCCTTTCCTCATCAGAGAGATGTTCTAGTCCCAGATCTTTACCAGTTTTCTTTAGCCTTGCTGACTGGCTTACCAGAAATCACTACGTTGGCCAAACTAAGAAAGAAAGAACCAGGTGTTTCACATCCCTCCAGATCTTTACCAGTTTTCTTTAGCCTTGCTCTCTGGCTTATCAGGAATCACTATGTTGGCCAAACTAAGAAAGAAAGGACCAGGTAACATCCCTCTTCTGTCCAGAGAACAAGGGTGGCAAAGAAGGCAACAGCCACTCAGCCCCACGGTTGCTCTGAGCCAGCAGGTGAGGCTATTGCCGTTCTACCAAAAATCCATTAGAGCTGTTGGCCTACTAGGTCAATCAGCATTATCTATTTACTTATCTGTCATTAAGGTGGGAATTACATAGGAATTATAACAGGAATATTCATGCATGCATTTTTTTTTTTTCCTTCTTTGTTTCCCGCTCTGCTTCCTATAGGATCGACACCGTCTTAACAAGGATGACGTTGGGGCTTTGATAGATTGCTCCACGAGGAGCAGTAGTCTTAATGCCATGAAGATTTGCCAGAATAATAACCAGCGACCTTAGCAAGTAAAACCCAAGTCTCGGAATCCGAATGTGTTCATCAGTATGCTCCCTGGCACTAATGGTAACAAGTGAGTTATATACCTATGTATATAGAGCTCCATTTGAGAACTGTCGTGGGACAAGTTAAGTTCACATCAGCTACTGCTTAAAGCAAAAGTGGCCAATATATTACCAAGATGTAACAAAGACAAGCGCTGCACGTGATGTATGCGCACACCTCTAAAGCATCCTTGCTATAGATGCTCCTCTCTTCCAGGCGTTTGACCTCCAGGGTGACAACAATCCACAGCACCTTAAATCCCACTTAGGTTCTCTAAGTGCAGGTGGCAGCTCAAACCTCCACAGAAACTGCTGAGATGAAGATGGAGCACTGGATGCTATGGCCAGCTGGCTCCAGAGGCAGTTTTCACACAAAGGAGGAGGTCAAGTGCAATTTTTTTCTGCCCTTCAAAGCTAAGTAGGTTTCTCTCTGAGGGTTCCAGCCTCTATGGCTGTCACCCTAAAATTGACAGCGTTTTACCCGTGCCTGTGTAAAGCATGAAATCTTGTAGGTATCAGCTAAGCAGCTTCCTGAGTGGAAGCTACACAGAGATGTGCGAGCAGACAGCATGAAATTCAACAGTGAGCTGACCAAAGAGACAATCACCGATTCCTTCTTATGCCTGAGGGTTCTGATCCTCCAGTCCTGCTCAGTTTTTCTGTGGTAACTAAAAGATCATCACCCCACTGTCTGCAATGCAGTACCATTTGAAGTAAGTTATCATTTTGCATGGATATGACAGAATAATTAGCATGTTTTCTTCTTAGCTTCCCGGAGCTAGAGCTTGGTATGAAACAGGAATCTCCAGCACGAGATAAAGCAGTAGCTTATGGACTGATGTACTACCTTCAGCCACCACCATGTGCATCTAAGGGAGAGAAGAGCTGTACCAGACATTTCTCCACAGCCCACAGAGTGCCCTTGATACTCACTCACTCCCTTTGGTTCACTGACACCTCGAGAGAGGACAGAAGCACAATTACCATGTCTCACTGGAAGAGGACTCAAGACAGACACCATATTTGGATCTCCATAGCATTCTTGGTTTTTCAGTGTTTCAGAAACTTGCCTCTGTGGCTCCCTTTTCCTTCTGCAGGACTTCCACCCACAAGTCAGCCTAGATACTGCAGCTGAAGGATAACCAGCACTGTGTGGCAAAACCAGCTGGAAGAGCAGGTGGGTCCCATGTTTCTAGCACAAGGCCAGGAGAACTCTGGCTTCACTTTGGCCCTGTCCCCCAAAGTCAGGGACAGCTGGAGAGAGGGCCCATAGCTGAGACACGGGAGAATGGCTGGAGAGCAGCCCTGAGGAGAAAGACTTGGGAGTGCTCGTGGATAAGAAGGTCGACAGGAGCCAGCAATGTGTGCTGGCAGCCCAGAGACCCAACCACATCCTGGGCTGCATCAAAAGCAGCGTGGCCAGCAGGGCAAGGGAGGTGGTTCTGCCCCTCTGCTCTGCTCTGGTGAGACCCCACCTGGAGTGCTGTGTCCAGCTCTGGGGCCCCCAACATAAGAAGGACACGGACCTGTTGGAATGGGTCCAAAGGAGGGGCACAAAGATGCTCCGAGGGCTGGAGCCCCTCTGCTGTGAGGACAGGCTGAGAGAGCTGGGGTTGTTTCAGCCTGGAGAAGAGAAGGCTCTGGGGAGACCTTAGAGCCCCTTCCAGTCCCTCAAGGGGGCTACAGGAGAGATGGGGAGGGACTCTTGATCAGGGAGTAGAGCCATAGGATGAGGGATAAGGGCTTCAAACTGAAAGAGGGGAGATTTATATTAGATCTGAGGAAGAAATTATTTGCTGTGAGGGTGGTGAGATTCTGGAACAGGTTGCCCAGAGAAGCTGTGGCTGCCCCATCCCTGGAGGGGTTCAAGGCCAGGCTGGATGGGGCTTGGAGCAACCTGGTCTGGTGGGAGGTGTCCCTGCCCATGGCAGGGGGGTTAGAACTGGATGATCTTTAAGGTCCCTTCCAACCCAAACCATTCTATGATTCTATGATTTCAGCATCTGAGAGGAGTGCAGCTACTGGCTCTGCATTCCATGCTGGGGATTCATCTTCCCATGGGCATAACACAAAGTATTCATCATTATTTTACCTGGGTGGATTTCAGAAGGCAGTGAAAAGCCTGAGAAGGTCACCATTTGCAGATGTGGAAACAGTTTCTATAATTTAGAATATATTTTGGCCATTTCTCATTAGTGTCTATTGATAATCTCCTTCGGACATCAAATGAACTAGATAAAGACAGACTGTGTAGACAAGGAGCATCGTTTGCACTAACATTCACATTGTGCTCACTCCTAAGCTTCAGAGAAGTTTACCTATTTATTTGAACAGGGTAGGAGAGGCTCTCTTTGCTGACCTACACTGTATGAAATAAAATATAGTTGCTAAAGTGGGACGGCTGACTTTGCTATAAAGGTCCAAGCTTCTCTTCTCCCTTGTTTGATAAATGAGTGTCATCAGAATTACTGTGCTCTCCTGAAGCAATTAGTCATTATTGGATGATCAAAAGTATTTATCAAAACTTCAGGTGCGGTGCGATTGATCTTCATTTGGGTTGGAAGGGTTTCCTTGCTGGATTTTGGAGAAGGAATCCATCAGTGGCACAGCCATCAAACAGAAGGCAGAAGGTCTATCCTTGTCAGGCAGATATATGACTATCCAGGAATTCAAAAAGGAGCCAAGAACTGCAGCTCGGTAGCAGAGGTGGCTACTGTCACCTGGCAAAGCTGGTGGGGTTTTGAGTAGGAGATGGAAAGAGCAGTTAACCACCCTACCTGCCTCAAGAGCACCATAGCTCACCTTCAAACGTGCACAGAGGAATTTTAATTAAAGGATTTACACAGCTGCAGAATCCTGAAACCCTCTGAGTAGTGTGCAATGGACTGAGACCTCCCTGGGAACGGCTCTTCAGTGTTTGCAACACTAAGAACCTACAGAGGAGCTATTCCCACACGATGTGTTTGATCCACTTTATTCAGAAATCTTCACTTCAAGATGCACAACCTGGATCAAAGAAAACTAAAACGTCATTGTAGCTGTTAAAGCATTGGGTTCTTGAGCAACAGATATGTTTGAGAAGATACCTCCATGGCAGGTCTTGATCTTGTAAAATGCTTTTAATGCTAGGAGAGGTTAGCAGGTCTCAGAATACTTATCTTCCAGCTTTTCTGGTGACCTAAATGGTTTGCAGCTGGCCATAGTGTAGAATCTCTCTTTGTATGAACCAGGGGAGGTTCAGGCTGGATATTAGGAAAAATTGTTTCACCAAAAGGGTTATCAGCCATTGGAATGGGCTGCCCAGGGAGGGGGTTGAGGCACCATCCCTGGAGGTGTTCAAAAGACAGGTTGATGTAGTGCTTGGAGGTATGGTTTAGTGATGGTGTTGCTTTTTGTTTGTTGTGTGGGTGTCTATTTTTGTCAGTTAGGTTGACGGGTGGACAAGATGATCTTTAAGGTCCCTTCCAACCTAGAAGATTCTGTGATTCTGTGATTTTGTATGCAAACCACTGCTTCCATACGTGAAAGAGGTCCATGTTTACTCAGGAGAAGCAGCCTTGCTCCTTGAGACACTAGTTTCCGTTTGCTCTTCAATAATTAAGACACAAATAAATTAAATCCCCAGCTGAGCTGGAAATACAGAACCACCAGTGGGAATTGCGTTCGCAGTCATCTTCCTCCCTGGGGCAAGTGTTGCAGCAACAGAGCATTAGACACCAACTTGTTTGGACCATTCAATGTGCAGGCAAATTTTTCTTCTCATCAGTCTCTTTTCTTTCTCCATTTTTTTCCCCCATACTCACTATTTATTTAAGCTAAAAATGGCCAATTTTTGACTGTTCTTACAAAAACAGGTATAAATTCAGACTAATCTACTGAATTACTCAATTTACTCTGGATTAACAGTGGTATAAATAACAGCAGAACTTGGCACAGTGTTTCCAAATTAATAAATCTAAATATTTAATTTTTTTTTAGCTAATGAAAGGGCTTGAGTGCGATCAAACAGCTTTTGCTTTTAATCTGTGAAAGGAAAATGTGTTTGCTTGACCTGTAAAGCAAGTTATGCCAAATTTGATCATGAAACAATATTTACGACTAATTTTTAATGCACTGAAAACAACTGAAGTGGGAAATGCTGATACACCAGTGGAATCAGGGCTGTGGAAATGGAACTAATGTAATAACTAAAACGAATGAGTGTCATGAAAGAATAAACCCGCGGAGGTTGGTAATTCTTTAAAAGGGTGGGATTTTGGGTTTAGCAGGGGGGGAGAGAGGGGGGGGGGCAATGAAAAAAATAAATGGCCAAGAATCAGCAGCTACAGCATGTGGCAGGAGCCTCTGCTGACATTTGCAGAGCTTTGGAGCATCTGAGGGCGAGAACATGGCAAAATAATGAACTCTGAAGCACAGGGAAAAAGAATTACACACGCAGGGACAGAAATGTGGTATTTCTATTGAAATGGGCATCACAGCTGATTGGAGAAATAGGCTCAGGACCTTTACTCAGTGATATATGGTCCTTTCCCATTCGCTATAGGTGGAAAAAGAAAAATCAGTTGAGGGCATGCATTTTTGAGGGACGGCACACGCGATGGAGCGCTGACTCTGCCCATCTCTGGAAATGGAAGTGATGGTGCCTCCGAGTGAAACTGGATAAACGCAGAGAGAAATTACTTCCACTCAGAGCAGTGTTCTGTTCTGTTTCTTAAGTATCCTTTTAATGTTGTTAATAGATCGTCTTAAAAATAAATTATTTAAGGAGGCTTATCTTTAAAAATGCTACGGGAATTATGACTAGAAAACATATGAATCATTGCTGTTCTGTAGCACAATTAATTTTCATTGCTATGTTTGTGACCTACTTACTCAGACCGCAAACACTAATCTCACTGGATAATTAAAAGAGTGTAAATATCATTTGTCCAGCCCCCGATGATTTGTTTTAGAAATCCAATGAGCTCTCCACAGTAAACTCGCAGATAAGAAATCCTCAGTTACATATAGACTTTAATTATCACATACAGCTAATGATTCTTAATGCTTACTTTCGTATTTTACGCTTAGAATAATACAAACTGTATTTAACACGCAATTAAATATTTTCACCTATAGATTTATTTGCCTAACTGTAGCATTCTGATGCAACAGGATGTGCGGAACAGACAGATATATTTGTCTTCTATTTAGTCTTGGATAAAATATTTGTAATATTTTGGCCGATATAAACGCAGTTTTCTTTAAAATTTACTACTGGCCTTCTAAATACAGGTGTGTATTTCAGGACTGGACTGAAGAAATGAGCTTCTCATCAAGGAAATGTTTAGCTAAATGCCATCTTGATTCAGTGAGACAATAAATTTCACAATTAGCAATCAAACACGCTAGTTGCCTGGATAATAAATTACATTGGGAGTCAACACAAATGGGACGTGGTAATACAAATAGCCTGAATGTCACAAGTTCAGCAAATTGATAAAAGACACAAAAGACAGGGAAAAAATCCATGCCAGTGAATGGTAATTTTATATAGTTAGAATGACAGAAATCCCAGCAATGGGATTTGCTTATCTTGTTGTCTTACAAGCTCGTAACTAGCTAAAGATAGTAAATTTGCTAATAATGATGAGGAATAGAAAGCGATATTTGATTTTAGGGGACTTTGTTGGAAGGAAACTGGGTGACACACTTGAATAGCATGAAACGCTGTCAAATCTACTGGTAAACTGTGAATAGTGTGATTGTCCTTACCCGGTGTGTCTATGTTAAATGGACAGACAAAAACATCTTCTGTCCTTAAAAATGCCTTTTATGAGTATTCCAAAACCAGACCTTGGGTCCTGCTGCGCATTGGTTGTTAAATTATTTTAACTGCAAAATTTTTCAATCTTTGTCACACGAAGGGCAACAAAGCTGGTGAGGGGTCTGGAGCACAAGTCTTATGAGGGAGCTGGGGTTATTCAGCCTGGAGAAGAGGAGGCTGAGGGGAGACCTTCTCACTCTCTACAACTCCCTGAAAGAAGGGTGTAGAGATGGGGGTCAGTCTCTTCTCTCAAGTCACAGGTGACAGGATGAGAGGAAATGGCCTCAAGTTGCACCAGGGGAGGTTCAGGCTGGATATTAGGAAAAATTTTTTCACTGAAAGGGTTATCAGCCATTGGAATGGGCTGCCCAGGGAGGTGGTTGAGGCACCATCCCTGGAGGTGTTCAAAAGATGGGTTGATGTAGTGCTGGGAGGTATGGTTTAGTGATGATGCTCCTTGTTTGTTGTGTGGGTGTCTATTTTTGTCAGTTAGGTTGACGGTTGGACAAGATGATCTTTAAGGTCCCTTCCAACCTAGAAGATTCTGTGATTCTGTATTATAAATAGTTCCAAAGATCAAAGCTCTGTGCTAGTAGGGCTAAAATTGGGGAGTTCAACTTTGTGCCCTCCTCCTTCCCCTCCTTTGAAGGCAACAGTGTGCTCCTGCTGTCTAAATGTCCATGTCCTGTACCAGTAGAGCGCTGGCACCAGCCAGTCAATGTTATAAAAAAGCCACTAACTCTTTATTTGGCTTTATCAGTGATGAAAGCTGCAGCAGTTATGTGAATTACTGGTTTCTTGCCTGACTGTCTTCATCTAACTTACAGGAGAGGGTTACGAAGAACGGGAATTTCATCTCTCCGTACAGGAAAAAAAATACGCTGGTTTTCTAACAAGAACAACCCTGCAAAGATATTGATGTTCTTCCATTAGGAAGAACTTTACAGGAGAGGGTTACGAAGAACGGGAATTTCATCTCTCCGTACAGGAAAAAAAATACGCTGGTTTTCTAACAAGAACAAACAAGAACAGATATTGATGTTCTTCCATTAGGAAGAACCATCAGGTTCTTCCACACCCTGAGCTGGAGTGAAGGCTACTCACTGTAGGAATGCTATTTTGCCACCACTTGCTGTTGTCATGGCTCTAGCAAGAGGAAAGATGCAGATGCTGAGCTGAGAGAGTAACAGCCACTGACATGGGGAAATTGCCATCAGAGACTGTTCTGAGAGAGAAAACTGACCACAAACAACACAGAGAAATCAAAAATAGGCTGCTTTCAATGAGATTATTCTCCGGTTGTGCCACGCGCCATGCCTAAAGTGGGCAAAAAAAGAGGTAATTCTATTCTTGTACAATTTTCTCCTGCATTCGAAGAATTATTTTAGGAATTGAAAAATAATTCTTTGCCACCTAGATTACTCCAAACTTGGTAAACAGGTTTTCTTTGGGCTTCCTAATTAAATTAGTTTTGGGCAGAATGCAAGCACAATAAATTCCAGCTCTAAAGGTCACATTTTTGGAAACATTAGCAGTCACTTAACAACAGAAGCTTAGGAGGAGAATGCTTTCTCAGCCTTTAGGACTGCCTTGTAAGGCTGTAATAGCACTGGGGCAGCAGTATCACTGTAATTAAATATCCTTTGCAGCAGCCTGGAGAAGCGGAAACACTCTGGTCATCCCAGACGTGTGGCAGAGCAACACCCTTGGGACTGAGATGTGGACAAGGGTTAACCCTTTCTCAGGCACTGTGACGTGACAGCATCACCAGACCAGGTTGCTCCAAGCCCCATCCAGCCTGGCCTTGAACCCCTCCAGGGATGGGGCAGCCACAGCTTCTCTGGGCAACCTGTTCCAGTGTCTCACCACCCTCACAGGAAAGAATTTCTTCCTAATATCTAATTCAAATCTCCCCTTTTTCAGTTTAAAACTGTCCCCCTTCATCCTATGGCTCCACTCCCTGATCCAGAGTCCCTCCCCATCTCTCCTGGAGCCCCTTGAGGGACTGGAAGGGCTATAAGTTCTCCCTGGAGCCTTCTCTTCTCCAGGCTGAAGAACCCCAACTCTCAGCCTGTCTTCCTAGGAGAGGTGCTCCAGCCCTCAGAGCATCTTTGTGGCCCTCCGCTGGACCCGTTCCAACAGGTCCATTGCCTTGAGGTATTCACGTTCATTCTACATATCCCTCTCTCACAGCAGCTTGAATCTCCTAGGAATATTTGCTTCTGTGGCATCTCCCTTCTTGACCAACGCTGGAGGTTTTCACTGTTGCCAGGAGAAGTTTTTAAAGCCTGCCCTTGTAAGTGAGGGTAAGAGGTTTAGCTGAGAGCTACAACAGTCACCCTCTGGTGTTTGGCCATGGATGATGTTCTACAGTTCAGACTCTCCAGTTGGTAACACTTGCACTGACTCACTGCGTTGCATTTCATGCCTTGTTGCTAATATATCACTGCGTTGCATTTCATGCCTTGTTGCTAAATTCTGGTTCCGAATATAAAGCCCAAAGAATGGGATTATACTAAGGTACTAAGTTTGTTTCTACATCTTTTTAAAAATCAGCATTTGTCGGATTGTATTTACTCGTGCACCCATGGGATTTAAGGTGCGAACTCCAACAGGGTATTTCTACACGCTGACAGAAATGCAGAAACATTTCCTCGTGCCCTCCCCCCACTGCATATTCCTACTTCTTCTGTCTGCCAGATGGTGTGGAGCAAATTATTCTAGCACTCAGACCATGTGAATTTTAAGCAGATGAATATAACAGTCTGCACAGCACTTTGCCTTCTTTTATCATTGACTGTGGTGCTGGCCTGTTTGATCACACCCCAGAACAAACAAATCTCATTAATCAGTGTTTCTCCCCCCCCTATTTTTTTTTTCCCCTTGGCTGCTTTTTCCTTTCCACTCACTTTTGGAGAATTTCTTTGGGAAGCCTTGTTTTTAGAGGGAGATAATGTTTTTTTGTCTGTTTGGTGCTTTTATTTAAAAATGAATTTAGCTTTAGGAAAAAATGCCAACTTGATAAAACCGAGAAATAGTGCAGTTCACACAGAAATGAAATTTGGCCCGGACATCTCGGATGTAAGTTATCCACTAGTAATCCACAGCAATTTACATCTCTATAGTTTAAAGGGTAATGTGATTTAAAATCCATGTACCTTACATTACGAGGACTCTTAACTGAAGCCGTCGCTGAAGATTCTGAATTATGCAATTTGAATATAACGACTTCACCTCAAATGTCAGCGACATCAGCCCAGCAATAATTTGATGATGTCACTTAATTCACCCTGCCATGACTGAGCTGCTCTTGAAGCACTCCTGACTTCTTGTTTTACTTTCAGTTCACAGAGGCGGAAAAATATTGGTCAGAAGGGACCTTTGGAGATCATCTGGTCTAACCGCCCATCGCTTGGGACTCTCGCCAGCGCTAGATCAGGTCAGCCATGGCTTCATCCGTGTGAGTCTTGAAAAGCCCCAAGGATGGAGATTTCACTGTCTCCCTGGGGAAACAGGGATCTGCTCCAGTGCTGCGCTGTCCTCCTAGTTAATCCAGACCTCCCTCATAAAATCACAGAATGGTTTGGGTTGGAGAGGACCTTAAAGATCATTGAGTTCCAACCCCCCTGCCATGGGCAGGGACACCTCCCACCAGACCAGGTTGCTCCAAGCCCCATCCAGCCTGGCCTTGAACCCCTCCAGGGATGGGGCAGCCACAGCTTCTCTGGGCAACCTGGTCCAGTGTCTCACCACCCTCACAGGAAAGAATTTCTTCCTAAGATCTCATCTAAATCTCCCCTCTTCCTACTTAAAACCATCACCCCTTGTCCTGTGGCTCCACTCCCTGACAAACAGTCCCTCCCCATCTCTCCTGTACCCCCCTTTAGGGACTGGAAGGAAATTTGTGCCCATTGCCTCTTGTTACTATGGAGAAGAGTTTTGCTTCATCACGTTTGTGACTCCCTACAGGCTGCTAATAGATTGCTGTTTAGCTCTCCTTTGCCAGACTGAACAAGCCCAGCTCCTTCATTGCTCAGTGAGGGCCAATGACCAGCCACTCCTCCTTGATGCCCCAACTGTCTTGGTGGCCCTCAGATGGCCCATCTCCAGTTTCTCCACATCCCCTTCAGAGTTGGACTCCAGATATGCCCTGGCCAGTGCTCCTCAGGGATGGTGTCTGAATGAATCACCCTCTTCACAGCTGACTTAAGGAAACAGGCGCTATTTAATAGTTGGCTCCAAGTTCTTGCAGTAGTTTTCGTGTATGAGGACTTTGAACCATAAAGACCTGTGGTTCTTAGAGAACTCTTGTGGAAGACACAACTTCTGATCCAGTCTTGGCTTTGCTTCTTGACTCTACTGGGGCTGCTTACAGGTTTCAGGAAACATCAACCCTGCAGGAAGTTTACCTGATAGCATGAATATCTCGTCTCTACTCCTACTCCAGACAAAGAAAAGGTGACAAAGTCAATTTGCAGACCAAGGCACCATCATTTAAGCACATTTCAACTAAATATTGAGCAAAATAACCAGTATTTTGCTTTGTTGTTTACCCTCATGAGCTCTTTGATGGGGATAGGAAAGAGCTGGAGGTTTGAGGAATTGGGAGGGTGGGGTATAATGGTAGTTTCAAGAGCTAAATTTAATCACGTGGCAATTTTTTGCTACATAATAGTAATATGTACATAATACTATATATTTCTGTCAGTGAAGACCTACCCAGACATACAGAATCCACACTGGGAGGGTGTCTTAATGTTGAAGGTACAAGAACACTGTAATGAGTGATAAAAAAACCCTCACTTATCTCCTCTTCAAAATTAGAAGCCCCTGTTAATATTCCAGCACAGACCTGGTTTATGGAGCTGCTGGCAAAAGCAGCAGATCTATTTGAACCGCAATGAAAGCTGAGGGAAGAAATAAAAAATAAGAGTAAAAAATGCAGCCCCGTGATGGTAACTGCGGATGGTACAGACCACACTGAGAAAGGGGCAGGAAGGAAGAGGCACTAAGAATAGCAGCAGTGCAGACTGGGATGCATTGCATCACGGGTGTCTTGAAAGAAAATACGACGAAACTGAGAAAGCTGCACTCCCCGAAGAACAGCAGGGTCAGAATTTAGGTTAACACTCAGTTCTGATCTCAACTCAGTGTAGAGTAATTAGATTTACATGCTATTTAACACTAGGATTATACAGGCACAAATACAGGTTGGGTGGAGAATGGCTGGAGAGCAGCCCTGAGGAGAAGGACTTGGGAGTGCTCATGGATGAGAAGCTCAACATGAGCCAGTAATGTGTGCTGGCAGCCCAGAAAGCCAACCACATCCTGGGCTGCATCAAAAGCAGCGTGGCCAGTTGGGCAAGGGAGGTGGTTCTGCCCCTCTGCTCTGGTGGGATCCCACCTGGAGTACTGTGTCCAGCTCTGGAGTGCTCAGCACAGGAAGGACACGGACCTGTTGGAACAGGTCCAGAGGAGGGGCACAAAGATGATCAGAGGGATGGAGTACCTCTGCTCTGAGGATAGGTGCCCTTTAGGGACTGGAAGGAAATTTGTGCCCGTTGCCCCTTGTTACTCCATCCCCTTTAGGGACTGGAAGGAAATTTGTGCCCATTGCCTCTTGTTACTATGGAGAAGAGTTTTGCTTCATCACGTTTGTGACTCCCTACAGGCTGCTAATAGATTGCTGTTTAGCTCTCCTTTGCCAGACTGAACAAGCCCAGCTCCTTCATTGCTCAGTGAGGGCCAATGACCAACCACTTCTCCTTGATGCCCCAACTGTCCTGGTGGCCCTCGGATGGCCCATCTCCAGTTTTTCCACATCCCCTTCAGAGTTGGACTCCAGATATGCCCTGGTCAGTGCTCTTCATGGATGGTTTCTGAGTGAATCACCCTCTTCACAGCTGACTTAAGGAAACAGGCGCTATTTAATAGTTGGCTCCAAGTTCTTGCAGTAGTTTTCGTGTATGAGGACTTTGAACCATAAAGACCTGTGGTTCTTAGAGAACTCTTGTGGAAGACACAACTTCTGATCCAGTCTTGGCTTTGCTTCTTGACTCTACTGGGGCTGCTTACAGGTTTCAGGAAACATCAACCCTGCAGGAAGTTTACCTGGTAGCATGAATATCTTGTCTCTACTCCTCCAGACAAAAGGTGACAAAGTCAATTTTCAGACCAAGGCACCATCATTTAAGCACATTTCCACTAAATATTGAGCAAAAACCCCAGTGTTTTGCTTTGTTGTTTACCCTCACGAGCTCTTTGATGGGGATAGGAAAGAGCTGGAGGTTTGAGGAATTGGGAGGGTGGGGTATAATGGTAGATTCAAGAGCTAAATTTAATCACGTGGCAATTTTTTGCTACATAATAGTAATATGTACATAATAGTATATATTTCTGTCAGTGAAGTCCTACCCAGAAATACAGAATCCACACTGGGAGGGTGTCTTAATGCTGAAGATACAAGAACACTAATGAGTGATAAAAAAACCCTCACTTATCTCCTCTTCAAAATTAGAAGCCCCTGTTAATATTCCAGCACAGACCTGGTTTATGGAGCTGCTGGCAAAAGCAGCAGATCTATTTGAACCGCAATGAAAGCTGAGGGAAGAAATAAAAAATAAGAGTAAAAAATGCAGCCCCGTAATGGTAACTGCGGATGGTACAGACCACACTGAGAAAGGGGCAGGAAGGAAGAGGCACTAAGAATAGCAGCAGTGCAGACTGGGATGCATTGCATCACGGGTGTCTTGAAAGAAAATACGACGAAACTGAGAAAGCTGCACTCCCCGAAGAACAGCAGGGTCAGAATTTAGGTTAACACTCAGTTCTGATCTCAACTCAGTGTAGAGTAATTAGATTTACATGCTATTTAACACTAGGATTATACAGGCACAAATACAGGTTGGGCGGAGAATGGCTGGAGAGCAGCCCTGAGGAGAAGGACTTGGGAGTGCTCATGGATGAGAAGCTCAACATGAGCCAGTAATGTGTGCTGGCAGCCCAGAAAGCCAACCACATCCTGGGCTGCATCAAAAGCAGCGTGGCCAGTTGGGCAAGGGAGGTGGTTCTGCCCCTCTGCTCTGGTGGGATCCCACCTGGAGTGCTGTGTCCAGCTCTGGAGTCCTCAGCACAGGAAGGACACGGACCTGTTGGAACAGGTCCAGAGGAGGGGCACAAAGATGATCAGAGGGATGGAGTACCTCTGCTGTGAGGATAGGTGGAGAGAGTTGGGATTGTTCAGCTTGGAGAAGAGAAGGCTCCAGGGAGACTTCAGAGCCCCTTCCAGTCCCTAAAGGGGCTACAGGAGAGATGAGGAGGGACTCTTGATCAGGGAGTGGAGCCATAGGATGAGGGGTAATGGTTTTAAATAGGAGGAGGGGAGATTTAGATGAGATCTGAGGAAGAAATTCTTTCCTGTGAGGGTGGTGAGACACTGGAACAGGTTGCCCAGAGAAGCTGTGGCTGCCCCATCATGGTTGGAACTCCATGATCTTTAAGGTCCCATCCAACTCCAACCATTCCATGATTCTAGATTTTTTCTCTTCCCGTTTCTTCATTCTTTCTTATTTTCACCTGCCTCCATGACAGTCACAGCTGCATTCTACGTACCACCTGGGCTCATCTCTGGGGAGATGTGTGACACTGCACCGAGAACGTATCGCCACTTTGTGCTTTCCCTGACCACAGTTTCACCTGCAGCCTCCTCCCTTCATTTGCTCCATATTCTTCCTTTTCCTCCAGTGAGATATCAGCTCTGCTTCTCTCTCCTGTGTGGCTCAGAGCTGGTTTCTCACCATTTCTAACCGAAAGTAAACGCTGGTGAGTGGGACAGCCCGTGCAAGCCTGTGCAGGCGTGCAGGGGGGAGGAAGGCTGCTGAAGACAGGCAGGGCTCTGCAGCCACAAGCCATATGTATTTTAGAACATTAGGACAAAGGGAGTAATAATGGGTAAGAAACAGGTCTGAGGTTTGCAATTTCTTATCAATGCGCTGGAGAGACGCAAGCTCGCACGTTAAATGTTTGACTGAGGGCTTTGAGGCAAAAGAAGGTGATACCTTTCCTTTTCCTGCAGTGATTTGGCTTTCAATCTTACTTCCCGTGACTCTCCCACCTTCACTTTAAAACTTTATCCCTTTAGAAAGTCTGAGAAGAGGCTCCATTCAGAAGGTTGAATTTTTCTTCATCTTTCTTCTGTTTCTGCTTCTCTTTCTCTTGTAACTGTCAGCCCTGATGCTCTTTCTGTCCCTTTACCACTACTGTTTTTTCCCTTGGCATTCTCATGTTTTATACAGTTTTCCCTTCGCCCCAGGGGAACACAATGTTTGGGCTGAGATAAACCTAAAGAAGTAGGATCCCTCCAGGGAACATCCAGATGATAGGCATGAGCAGAGCTGGGGGATTTTGCGAATGCAAGAGTGCACAGGACAAACTATACCTCAAAAACTTCTGCTGAAATAAATCAGCATTTTCCACACTTACCCTATGAAAAAAAAAAACCCACAATTTTCAGATCAAGCCAGCAGATGTTTTTGAAAGCACTGACACCAATCTCCATCTCAACTATTGCGGAGTTTAGTCCAGAAAAGCGATTTGTTGTTAAGGTATGACAAAGCAGATTAGGAACATGTCTCTTAGCTATTTCTTAGTATTAACTACAGAGAACATTTTAATTCAATCGTATTAATCACCATGGCATTAGCCAGGGGTGGCATTTCCTCTGAATCAGAACAGAGATGGGAGATGCTGGGGTTACAAATAAAGCTAGCACAGACCACCTGCGGAACCTGCGCGGGTTATTGTTTAGTGGTGTTTTTAAAGCACAAAGCAACAAACCTCTCCCAGATCCACCCCGGGGATTACAAGACATGATTGCCCTCAGCTTGGCTGGCAATGTCCCTCGGCCGGACTGTTAATGCTTTCCTGCCACCCTAATCTTTCAAGAAAGCAATTTATGTAAGTGCTCTCTAACTCATTTCTGTCCGGACGAGAAAGGTTAACTTAAAAATAGTTCAAAAATCAGCTCTTCGTTAATGGGGCTGATTTGAGAAAAGCAGAGCAGAAAGCTTATAAAAACTACACCTACGGGAGAACTTTAGAGTTAAAGGATGTGTAGGAGGGATATTAGAGCTTTCTGTTGTATGAACGTCTATCAATAGACAGGCAACAGAGCTGCTCAGGTCTTGTTCGGGTTATTTTAGATTGATTTTTTTTTAAGTGTCCAAATAAATACACCGTTAAAAAGATGAGGTCCACAAGTGTTTCACCTACGTCTTGGAGGAACTTGAGATGTTTCTTCCTACTCTCCTGTTCCTGCAGACCAACGTGCTTCTCTGTAGGATACTGTGTGCTTTTCATAGAATATGAGAGCTTTTCAGAGAATATTTGTGCTGAAGATTCAGTCCTTACCCCACGACTCTCCCACGCAGGGTGCTAAGCAGTGCTGCCTTCTTTTAAAGGAAAGAAAATTCTCTAGGATTCTCCGCTATGAAATTGCTGCAATGTAATAATTAATTTCGACTAGAACCTGTGGAAAAATAGAGCTCATGTCAAATATCTCAATATTTCTGCAAAAAAATGCCGAATAAGTGTTTTTCTAAGAACAGCTAATATTATTCATGTAAATGTAGCCAAATCAATCAGGATGTCACTTCAACGCAGGATCAGTCATCTGGTATGGAAAAATGCACATTAAAAAATAGCTTTTACAAGAAAATACACAATCCTTTGGTCCTGATCCTCCAAAGACACCTTCAACTTCATTGGCTGTGAGCAGTGTCAGGCTGTTGTGTCGTGGATCTTTTCAGGCAGCACAGTGCTGCTGTATCAGTAGTACTACACATTCGTATGGTGGATGAAAATACCATACACAATGCTATACACAACGTAGTAGTATTACACATTCATAGAAGACAAAAAAGAACCAGCATTGCTTTATTTAGGCCATGTAGGCTGCATAATACCTAACCAGCAGAGATGACTCCCAGCCATTATCTTTCCTGGAGGCATCTCCTACAACAAGGCAATGTTCACTGACGTGGTGCAAGATGGGGCCCAAGAAAAACGAAGCTGGAAAGCAAGCTGCTGCCTTCAGAACAAGTTATTTGCTTTGCAGTCCAGGTCCAGAGAGCCTGAGCAAGACTATGGCAGCAGCATGCTCCTCACCATCCTCTTTCCCACCTGAAAGGGCTCCAGGAGAGATGGGGAGGGACTCTGTCAGGGAGTGGAGCCATAGGATGAACCGTAACAATTTTAAACTGAAAGAGGGGAGATTTAGATGAGATCTTAGGAAGAAATTCTTTGCTGTGAGGGTGGTGAGACACTGGAAGAGGTTGCCCAGAGAAGCTGTGGCTGCCCCATCCCTGGAGGGGTTCAAGGCCAGGCTGGAGGGGGCTTGGAGCAACCTGGTCTGGTGGGAGGTATCCCTGCCCATGGCAGGGGGGTTGGAACTGGATGATATTTAAGGTCCCTTCCAACCCAAACCATTCTATGATTCCATGATTTTCCAAATCTGGGCAGAAAGCAGCACTTCCATGATAAATCCAACCTGCACATGTATAGATCAGGTCTCCTATGTGCCTAGCGCAGGCCCAGCTATAAGAGAAGAAAGAGGCCATACGTATGTCTCACCCTTGCAAAGGCAGAATTGTGTAGAAGACAAGGTCACCACTACTCTGAAGACAAAAACGAGCCTCAGGGCACACGAGACACTTCTTTATATTAACCTAGATATGGCTGTTACAATTTTAAAAAATACTGTAAGTATAGTGTTCCTTTTGTTTTCAGTTGAGACAAGTTGCTCTATCTCTAGGAAGAAGGTCACTCACCAGAGTATTCTATCAGCTCTTTTGTTTATAAAGAAGGAGCAGCTCTAGCAGGAGCACCCTCTCCTTCCCCTTTGGGAACTTTCCTGCTCATTAAAGAGAAGGATATCATTACAGGGTATGTGGTGTAATATAATAGCATGTTAATCCTCACCCCCTTAAAAAACCCTCTAAAACTTAGTCAACGCTTTCCTTCAGCTCCTTGAGGCCTCTTACACTGGTTTCACTCAGGCTGTTACTCCCACCTGGGTGTAGAATGACAGACAGTAACAAATAACCTCACTTCTACTAGGCTAGGGCATTAGGGTAATGAGTTGTCAAGAGGGAGGTTACACAGCTGTGGAAGTTTAAATCAGTTTTCAGTGTTTTCATTGGCTGCTGTGGATTTTTCCACAGGTGGTCTTTTAACACAATTGGGAGAAAAAGGCTTGATCATCTCTGGAAAGAATAAGGAGAACCATTTGTTGATAAGCTGGGCTTAACTAAGCAAGGTATGATTGTTAACGCTTATGGTTTGCTACAAACTATTTCTAGGATACGATGGATTTTTTTTTTTTTTTTAGTCTGTATAATTTTATACTGCTATTATTTTGTCATGTAGCCTGGAACTTATTATGAAGATAAGGATTAGCATTTACCACTCTAGATGTTAGTAGCCTGTGAAGAAGAGGTTATTCGATTACCTATTTCACCGCTTACTAGCTTTTTTTATAATCTTAGCCTGTTGAAGCTGTGTATGCTCTACATAGATAGCAGAAACTAAGCAAATAAATTTCCTAATACTTAAGTAGATACTCAGAGGCGAAGATGTACCACTTGAAGATGATCCGGCGTGCCTCAGCTTAGGCATGACTGTGAATGTTTATGGTTTGCTACAAACTATTTCTAGGATATGATGGATTTTTTTAGTCTGTATAATTTTATACTGCTATTATTTTGTCATGTAGCCTGGAACTTATTATGAAGATAAGGATTAGCATTTACCACTCTAGATGTTAGTAGCCTGTGAAGAAGAGGTTATTCGATTACCTATTTCACCGCTTACTAGCTTTTTTTATAATCTTAGCCTGTTGAAGCTGTGTATGCTCTACATAGATAGCAGAAACTAAGCAAATAAATTTCCTAATACTTAAGTAGATACTCAGAGGCGAAGATGTACCACTTGAAGATGATCCGGCGTGCCTCAGCTTAGGCATGACTGTGAATGTTTTACAGCTTGTATCAAAGAGAGGACTTTTTATAAAGAGTCTTGAGGAGCTAATGCAATCGCGAATAAGAGATGATTGGACTCAATACAAAAGCAGTGAAAAATATATACTAATGTAGTAAGTTTTTTTCCTTCTGTGAAAAACTTGGAAAGAAAATGCAAGAAAGAATCAGACCTTTGCAAAAGAAGTGCCAACTGAAAAACTTGTATTTGCCCTTCTTCCAGTACTCCAGCACAAGATCAAAAAAACAGCTTGAAATTGTGGTGTTCTCTAATTTTAAACAGTTCCCTATGAAATAACACCTTACATTTAGGGAGCTTCTCCCAAGATTTCAGACTTGGCCTAGAAAGCAGTCAGATTGTAAGGAGCTTAAAAGATAAACTGCCTTCCCATACTATGTATTAGCCAGCACATTCAGGCATTTCTCATCATGGAAGGTATTAAAACAACGCCACTTTAACCACAAAGATCTAGAAGTTCTAGAAGGACAATGTGTAAATTCAACGTATAATAACTGTAAAACAGACACATAACCTAATTTACTCAGGGGTGGTATTTTGTATTTACATTTTAAAAAGTGATCTCTCACTCTGCTTAATATTCTAGTAGGTACAACAACTGCAATCGCTCTCTCCTTCTATCTCTTTCTCTCTTTTTGCTTCTTTTTTGAAACTTTACCAAAAACCACTCAGACCTTACGATGGTGTGTTCTATACGGGGTAACGCTTAATAACCATTCACAAAATTCAGATAGTGCCTGTATGGAGGACAAAGTTTGCTGTCATGATAATACTGCACTTTCCATGCTGTCTTCCTACAGTGTACTTCCCAGACCAATTCCAAGTGCTGATTTTTATATATATATACATATATATTTGAAGTGTTGCAAAGTTTAGTTTCTGTAATTACAGAGAAGCTGCCTCTTTTCTTCACTGCAGAAATTGAGATTGGTTCATGTATTCATCTTCACATTTTTAAATTTGAAAAATGTGGAAGTCTGACATTTTTAAACACGCTGATTGTGGGTTCTTGTCTCAAACACTCTTTCTCTGACGATACAACAGAACACGAGGGTAAGATCCATTTATCCGCAGGGGCTTGGTGGGGGAGAACAGACTAAGAGCTTGTCTGTGATTTGCATTTAAGGCTCCTGCATAAATTTGAAGGGTATTGCCCATTTATATATGTGTACATATATATATTATTTTAAAACATTGGTTGCAATACTAATTATCAGAAATACTTCCAGTTTAGGTATTTTAAAATTAATTTGCAGGAAATTATTTAATACCATGTTTTGTAGATTTATAAAAAATAGGGTTTAGGCTTGTTTTTAAAAAGCAAACTTTAAGAAAAAAAAAAATACATATTGGCAGCACAAGTGTGGCCATAGCTTTGGGAGCATATAGACTATAGCTTAGGGTCTACCACAAACCAGCCAGCCATAAAAGGAATATATACTCCAGAGGTTTTAGGGCTCTAACACACAAACTTTAGCAGATTTAACCTCTCTGAGCTGCCTGGCTTACAACTGCACTTGTTATTACAGCTTCCACTGCAGCAGCGGTCTGTGGTTTCACTTCACCATCCCCTGTTCTAGCTTAAGCCAGTGAAGAAGGTGTTTTTCAACTAAGATGCTAAATCTCATTTTTCTGCCCTTTATTGACTTGGCAAATCTCTAGCAAAGGGGTGAAGCACCGACCTACAGGCAAGAATATCCTCGACTGTGACACCAGACTTCTCTGTCAGAAACCTCACCTGATCCAGGGTAGGTCTCTGAATTACAGCTTGTCTGAGACCCATGTTTATTTTTTGGAGGAGAAGGCAATGCACAATCAGAAAAAAAAACTCCACCCCTTAATATTTTAGAGATAATGTTATTCTCCTCAGCCGTTGTTTAATTTTTAAATGTTAATGCTCCTTTCAACCCAAATAGCGTAGTAAGTATTATGCCCATACCAAAAGCAAAGAAATATTCACCGGCTAAGAGGATTTTGGTACCAATGAGTATACTTTTTAAAACTAGGGTAAGAAATGGAGAGTATAAGAACAGATAGTCAAATGGCAACTCCTATACATTTCTCCCTTTTCAGTAATCTAAGATTTTAATTTTTACAGATATATATAAAAGACTTGGGGAGGGGGGAATATAAAAACCTCTTATTTAACAAATGACTTTGCAAAGGCAGAAAATATGCTTAAATATGCCCTATTTCACACATTCCTTTCATCCTTTAGGCTTTTGACGTAATGCTTATCACTTTGTCATTGTGTCAATTTGTGCTTACCAATCTTTTTTCCCCCTTGTCTCATCTCATATTTAGGCTGTGATCCTGCAAACACTTACCTACACGCTTAGTTTTGCTACTCTTAGTAATCCCTTTGAAGTTAAAAGGATTATTTGCATTAGTAAAATAAGGCATGTGTGCGCTTGCCGGATGAAGGCCTTGCATTATAAACTCTCTGGGACGGGACCAGATGGTTTATTATGGGGCTGTTTTAGCTCAAAGCATGGTTGGGTGTAGGATGAGTTCAGGAGTTTGCATAGGATTGGTAAAAGGGTGAACTAGTAGGTGGGAGATCAGTCTGGGGCACAGCACTCGGGCAGCAGCTGGTCCCAACTAATACACAGTCTTCTTCCCTTCTTTTTTTCTTTGTTTGTGTTTGCTGCTGAGGCACAGCTCAAGCTCTCATGGCTGCTGAGATTCCTGCTCCTTTTTTCCTTCCTCCTAAAGCAGAAACTTCCCTGGTGGTAACCTGGAGCGAGACCTTAAGTAGCTTTATGCTGCTGTGCATGGGGAGAAGCAATCAAGCTCTGCAATGTATAGCTGCAGATCCTGCCTTCTGAGAACCATGGAGCTCATCCTGAGTAATGCTTTTATCTTCCTTCCCTGCTTTCCCATTTTCCAGGGAGACCTGTTTGGGTTTTTTGCTCCTGTTTTGGCCCCTGTTTTGTGGTTTGTTTGGTTTTTGGTTTGGTTTTTTTTTTTCCCTCCCTTCTCCAAGAAGCCAAGTGTGTGCCATCCAAACAGCCTGTCTCCATAATCCTTTGCTTTTGTTTAAGGCAGCCATCCATTGTTTAAAATCCACCTGGAGAGGTGTGCAGAAAGCCTTCTCTTCGTGGCATTCTGAGAACGCAGCTTTGTGTACCCTACCCCAGCACCAGAAAAAATAACCTTGATATTTGAGAAAGAGAGAGACCCTGTAACATCCTCTGGTAACTTCCGACATAGATATTCCAGCATTTTTTTGTAATATAACTTAAGGACTACTCCCAATTTCAAAGGAAAAGCTCAAAATCCAGTTTTCCATGAATATTTATTTCGGTTGATGACTACAAGCAGAAAAACGTTATTTTTTTTATACTGGTGTCCAGAACTCCAACTGCGCTGTGGGTGCCATTTTATTATCTAAAATTTGGGACAGGAATGCTCTTCTGCTAAAGAACACGCTCTGAAGACTTGTCTAGATGAAGTATTTTTGTAGTTACACTGATGTAATTCCAGAAAACCTTTGGAACGTGAAGTTATGGACAAACCCCTCCTTGCTGAGCTGACTGTACTTGTGGAACAGGTTGCTACTGCCAGATGATTTTTCCTGACCACTTTTATATTTGCTAGCTGAGCTGTCTATGTGACTGCTCCCTCGCTCTCACAGTTGGATGGAGATAACAAAAAATTACTATTTAAAACATCTGAATTAACCCAATTTCTGTGACCAAAATGCTTAGGGAGGGAGTGCTGAGGAAGTGGCTGAGGAAAGGTTGCGGTAATCTCTGGCAGAAGGGCTGTGAAGAGTGATGGGGCCTTGCAAACAAATGCACCTAGATGAAGAGAGATAAGGATAGGATGGTACTGCTTTTAATTTCTATCTTAAAACTACTTGGTCTGAGTTTAAATACTCCAGTGGTGCTGTAGGAGCATAAAATAGGCTGGGAACGGAGAGGGGAGCGATAGAGAACAGAATGTCCTATGGTTGATGTTCTCCAAATAGCTGTCAGAAGAAGAACGGTGCTTCTTGCCTTTCCAGAAGCTCTTAGGGACTGGCTTTTAGGAGCTGTGCCGAAGTATCAAGTGACCGCACTGGAAGGCGAAGCAGCTGCAGAGACTTTGTGCTGGGAGGGAGCAGAAAAGGCCGAAGGAAAGTTGTGTGAGACCAGAGGCTGGTCAGCCCAGCACCAAGTGTGTTTCTGACCTGGAGACATGGTCAATTAGAGGCATCTCGCTGCCTGACTTCATCTTTTCCTGCTGAGGCTCATCTGTGCCTTCAGTTAGAGGACAAGT